AGAACATGCATTCCATGGAGTGAATTAAACCAGGTACAGGAAAGCACTCTGCAGGTGTCACACAAAACACTGTAATGATCACACTATTCCTTGTATTCTTGGCTAAGTAATAACATTAGAAGTGAGAATAACTGAATCCACACGATACATAATTCTCCAAGTATGTACCCTCTTCAACTATGCTTCAAATAACTGATTTGTGGTACACACTGTTTGTTATTTACTTAATCCATGAGATAAAGTGATTTAGCAGCAAAAAATCAGTTACCTGCACATTTCACATGGATACTACAAGACCAAGGATTAATAAATCTGATGAAATGCCAGGAGATGCAGTTTGTTCTTTTGTATTATTTTGTTGCCTAGAGTCACTATTTAAACACATTGAACATTTCTGGAAGGCTGAAGGAGTCTAAATGCTTTTATAATGCTTGCCTCAATGGAAAATAAATTAAAATTTAATGACTTTTCATTGAGACAGAAAAAAATTCAAAACATCAGTAAAGGAAAATGAGGCCACCATTTAACCACAGTAACCACTGGGAATGCCCACAATTGCTAAGCAAAGCTTTAGCATTCACCATACACCTAGAAGGGGTGATGGTGACGAGGTAAAGGCCTACAGCCCACTGAGCAGCTCTATTGCTTAACATCAGACATGTAACTACATTTCCTCACACTATGACAAATGATCAAAGCCGGTAAATAGCTGTTTATACAACTCAATCTAGGAGCCAGCACAATGGCTCAACAGGCTTAGCCTCTGCCTTGCTATATCAGCATCCCCATGTGGATGCCAGTTTAAGTCCCAGAACCTCCACTTCCCATCTGGCTCCCTACTTATGGCCCGGGAAAGCAGTGGAGAATGATTCAGATTCTTGGCAATTTGGGAGACCTGGAAGAAGCTCCTGGCCGTGCATTGGTTCAGCTAAACCTAACTGTGGCCATTTAGGAATTAAATCAGTGGATGTAAGATTTTTCTCTCCGTATCTTCTTGTAAATCTGTCTAATAAAAAATAAATCTTTTGAAAACATCTCCATCTACTTGTAGGGTCTAATATGTCCCTGTGGTGGTTTTTCTTTTTTTGGTAGAAATTACATAAAATTTCTCTTGTGTTAACAAGCAAACTTTATTATATATGCTTCTTGCTCTGACTCCAAATTCTACAAAAAAAAAAAAAAAGCTGCAGGTCATTGGATATGAACTTAGATATACACTGTTTAAGTCTTTTAGATCTGTATTAAGATTAATCAAAGGATCAAAGAGTCACTTGAAACTAGTAAAACATCTGCAAATAGAAACTGTCCGTTGCCACGAATTGGTTTTAACTGCAAGCACACAAAATGCCCCCAAATTTCTATATATTTCTGTAAAGTAATGTTATTTTATTTCAACAAGACAGCTAAACCTAAAAGCAGCTTTAGGCTCTCTCCTTTTAAAATATCACCAACATTTTTAATTTATACAAGAAATACCTCATTCTAATAAAACACAATGTTACTAAATATATTTGTTCTAATATATTAAGCAATTTGAAGTATGAAGGTTTTCCTACTACATATTAAAAAATCATCTCCCTAAGACGCTGTGCACAAAGGCAGCACAGCTTGAAATAAGTGCATCACCTCCAAGGAAGACTCTTCTGAGGAACAAGACTTGCAGGTGGTCTTTCTCTCTGTCCCTTTTTGACACTCTGCCTTATAAATAAATAAATCTAATAAAAGGGGTAGACCTGGCACGGTAGCCTAGTGTCTTAAGTTCTCACCTCACATGTGCTGGGATCCCATACGGGTACCAGTTCATATCCCAACTGCTCCATTACCATCCAGCTCCCTGCTTGTGACCTGGGAGGGCAGTTGAGGACGGCCCAAAGCCTTGGGACTCTGTACCCACATGGGAGACCAGGAAGAAGCTCCTGGCTCCTGGCTTTGGATTGGCTTAGCTCTAGCCATTTCAGCTACGTGGGGAGTGAACCAGCAGATAGAAGATCTTCCTGTCTCTCCTTCTCTCTGTAAATCTGACTTTCCAATAAATAAATAAATAAATCTTTAAAAAAGTTTTTCTTACATTTATTATCTGCTCCTCTCCCCAACCTAGATAATTTTTGAAGCTAAGGTGTTTGCAATAGGAGGAGAAAGCATAATCAACATGATTTAATGATTCATCAAGTACATGTGGTTAGAGCAGGTTAACGTGAAGACTGTTGCTAAGGCCCCTTTTACAACTTAAGAGAAGTGGGACAGTATACAAGAGAAGGAAACAGAAAGGAGAGCATCTTTTAAAAATTCAGTAACTTTTCATGGATTATGAAAAACTGACAAGCCAAAATTACATAATAACAGACTTGTTATACTATGTTAATAGGAAGATAAATTTGCTTAAAGACTGACATTTGTCTGGGGGAGGCAGGTTTTAGGGGGGGGGTGAATTCCAGTGCCTATAAAACTGTGTCACATAATGCAATGTAATCAATTTAAAAAAAAAAAAAGGACTGACATTTGTCCTGAGAACATGAATCCCTGTTGGGGCAGACGTTTAGCTAAGACATTAGATGCTCTTGGGGCATGCTGGAGTGCCTGGCTAAATAACCAGCTCTAGTTCTGGTCCGCAGCTTCCCTCCAGGGTACATCCCGAGAAACAGCAGCAACGGCTCAAGTTGCTGGGATCCCTAACCACGCTCCTGGCAGCCTGGAATTGACTTTTTGGCTCCTGGCTTCAGCTGGATCTAGCTCTGTTGTCGGATTTCAGGGAAATAATCAGTAGAAAGAATCTCTCTGATCTCAAATAACAAAGAAATTATTTTTGATAAAGAATATGTAATTTTTTGCAAACAAGGAGAAATGTGTTTTTTTCCTACATTATCTTTGTAAATTGAAGAGGCTGTTATTTTACCATAGAAGAGAACTGTGCTTATATACAGTTCCAAAAGACACTCATAATTAAGTCTAAAATTTACCATAGCCTAAGGTCCGGTGCAACAGCCTGGTGGCTAAATCCTCACCTTGTACACCTGGGATCCCATAGGGCACCGGTTCATATCCCAACTGCTCCATTCCCATTCAGCTCCCTGCTTGTGGCCTGGGAAAGCAATAGAGGAAGTCCCAAAATTTTGGGACCTGCATGGGAGACCAGGAAGAAGTTCCTGGCTCCTGGCTTTGGATCAGCTCAGCTCCAGCTGTTGCGGCCACTTGGGAAGAGGACCAGCAGATGGAAGAACTTTATCTCTGTCTCTTGCTCTCTGCAGATCTGACTTTCCAATAAAAATAATTAAATCTTTTTTAAAAATGACAATATCCCCAGAACCTAGGGAATGATACCATAAAACAAAATAAAATATGTTTTAAAAAAAATTGCTGCAATACTAGCCCCACATAATACTGTTTTAAAGTTATCTTGAGGGGGCTGGCGCTGTGGCTGAATGGACTGATCCTTTACCTGCTACCACTAGCATCCCATGCAGGCATGGGCTCATGTCTTGGCTGCTCTACTTCCAGTCCAGGACTATGCTTGTGGCCTGGGAGAACACGGGAGGACAGCCTGGGTCCTTGAGGCCCTGATCCGGTGTGGGAGACCCAAATAGGCTCCTGGCTTCAAATTGACTCAGCTCTGCTGTTGCAGCCATTTAAATCTGTCTTTCAAATAAAAAAAGCCTTAAGTTACCAAAAAAAAAAAAAAAAAAAAAAAGACAATAGCCTACCTTATCACAAAGTTGTATACTGTCTCAGAAAGTTTCCCCATTTTTTTAAAAAGATTTATTTTATTTTTATTGGAAAGGCGGATATACAGAGAGGAGAGACAGAGAGGAAGATCTTCCGTCTGATGATTCACTCTCCAAGTACAATGGCCGATGCATCGACATATTTACACAAGTCAGTATGTCAGGGCACAGAGCAGGTTTGAGAACAGAGTGGATATGGAAAGGCACAGGCAAGATATTCAAAACATAATTAAGTTAGTAAGCACAGACTAACTACTGCCACAACCCCAAACTCAAAGGTCAGGAGTAGTAAAAAGGGTACATTACTAATAGTTTGCAAAAGGCTAAAATAATACTATTATTACTATTAACCCCCAGAGAATCTACAGAATGAACAAGTAAAGAGGACAGGACCAAATTCCTGTGCATTATTTTAGTACTTGGTTTACAATATTTACTCCGTTGCCAAGAAGCTTTTCTTTTTGTTTGTTTACTTCTTAGACCTGACCACGCTAATTTCCAGTTACTGAGGTTATTATATACACCAAGTAAATCAGATTTAGCCTTCATGGATTCCATTAAATCAGGAAGAAAAAACTTCATAACAAGTACAACAAGCCAGGAACATGTACTGACTTGCACTTTCACCAATTATGTAGCAATTTCCTTGTATGTCAACACCATTGTTTACAATCCTGTAATTTTTAAAGGGTGACAACCCATGTGATGAAAACTGTAGCACAATGTAACCCAACTTCCCTGTATGTAACAGAAGAAAGGACTAAAACAAAATTCCTTTAAGTAAACAATTTTCTTCAAGGTAGGTTACATACACATATTCAACTGTAAACTCAGTATGAAAACACCGCTTTCAAATGCAACCTTTTTAGTAAATTTCCTATTAATAAAGGTTACCTTCTTTTCTAAAAGGTTCATTACGTACTTTACAAACGTCACACTCCTAAATTACTTTTATAACCTCAGGATAACAATGGCTACTAACAACCTTATATACAACTTTGCTCTAAGTAGGAAAAATAAGTAACAATATCTTCAACATGCCTACTTATTTTAAATCAAAACCAAAAGATCATATTAATCTTGTTGGAATCGACCTAGTGAAAAAATTCACCAATATATAGAAAAGAGGGGGAAAAAAGTGTTAATTACTAGATTCTGTAAATAAACAGGCAGATTTTACAAAGTCAATTTGAATTCATTCATCTCTGCTGAAGTCTGTGTTTACATCAGTTGTTTGGGAAACACTCCGTTGGATAATTGCAAAGAGCAAATGGTAAGGCAAGTTCAGAACATGTGACATTTTCACTAACCATGTTTAAATAGCACGTAGTGAGAAAGAAATCAGAAACCTCACAGGACACTGGAGAAGGTCTGGATTCTTACTCTTCAATACAGAAAATTAAAAGGTAACATTAATTTGAAATTTTCCCAATTATATATTAAAGTAAAACAAAGCTTTCAGCATACATTGTATTTCTAATATTAAAGTTTAAGGTTTTTTTAAAAGATTTATTTTATTTTTATTGGAAAGTCAGATTATACAGAGAGGAGAAGAGACAGAGAGGAAGATCTTCTGTCCAATCATTCACTCCCCAAGTGAGTGCAACAGCCAGTGCTATGCCAATCTGAAGCCAGGAGCCACGAACCTCTTCCAGGTCTCCCACATGGGTGCAGGGTCCCAAGGTTTTGGGCTGTCCTCAACTGCCTTCCCTGGCCACAAGCAGGGAGCTGGATGGGAAGTGGAGCTGCTGGGATATGAACCAGTGCCCATATGGCATCAGAACGTGTGCAAGGCAAGGACTTTAGCCACTAGGCCATGCCGCCGGGCCCTAAAGTTTAAGTTTAAAGCTTAAAAAAAAAAATGGCTAGCTAACCAGGTCCTGCATGAGTTACCCGCATTGTCTCAAATGTGACAAGCCATTCAATTTGAGAACAGGATGATAGGAAATGAGCTTTATTTAAAAAAATTTGGTGATGTATATAGTTTGCTTTTGATTCATATCTACTAAAGAATACAGGACTTAGATTTGCATTCCAATGTTGGCCATTTTTAAGATATGTAGTCTCAGGCAAGTTATAACTCAAGTTTAGTCTGTAAAATAAAGGGGCTGGTTTTGATCAATCATAAATTTCCTTTTGTCTTCCAATGAACTTCTCCAAGATCTATCTTTTTTGTGTTTTTTAAAAGATTTTTATCTTATTTGAAAGGCAAAGAAGAAGAGATACAGAGAAATACAGGAACTTCCATTAGCTCCTTCAAACACCAACGCCCTCCCTCTACCTCACCCCAAAGGGCTGCAATGGTCAGGATTAGACCAGGTCTCTTACATGGTTGCAAAGACCCAAGTACCTGGGCCATCTTCTGCTGCTTTCTCAGGTACACTGGCAGCAGCAGATCAGAAGCGGAGCAGTCAGGACTCCAAACAGCACCCATATGGCCAATGTGGGATTTTGGCATCTGAGGCAGAGATTTAACCTGAGAGGTCATGATGCTGGCCCTTCGAACTAGCTTTTCGTAAAGCTGAAGGGGAGAAGGGGAGAGGGTAGGAATGAAGGAAATCTCATCACAGCAATGAGGAAATCCTTCCACTTAATCACTTTTAGTTGCTGAAGTAAATGTTGTAAAGCAATATCCTAATTTGTGATCTGACCTTAAACTTTTACATCACTGGAACAAAGGTCATTAAGGAATTTAAAAAATAATATGCCAGTATTTATTTCAGGGCTTGCTGTTCTCCCCTTGAAAACTACCTCTTTTCTGCTCCACCCTGCCCTATCGTAAGCTCAAACCTTTGTCTTTTTGTATTTTGTGTAGGGATTTACTTTTTTCTTTTTAAAGCAACATTAAATGAAACTCCTTTTTAGTCTTCAGATTGTTTAAATCTCAAGTTGGCAGCCCTACATAGAAAATAGGTATGTCCATAAAGATTAAGAACAGAAAAAAGTAAGCTTTTTATTTACTCACTAACAAACAATGTAAAAGCATATTTGTATAATGTTAATGTACTAAGAAAATAGAATCAAGAATATAAGCTTGTTTGTTCAAGATCCAAGTGTTAGGCTGCTTACTAATTATTTTGAAACACAGGAAGATGATGTTCAAGCTATCACTGATCGGCCTGCTCTTCATGTTGATGGACAATTCTTCAAGAATATTAGCTAATTCTCCAGGATCTCAGATCGTATCTTCTGCGACATCTCAGACAGGCCTCAGCAGCAAAGCAAGCCTGAGTACCAAGGCCAGTCTAACTACTGAGGTGACCCACAGTCTCACAACGATCCAGAGGCCCAGTGAACCAACCCAGAGTCCCAGCAAATCGAGCCAGGGGCCCAAGATGTCAACCAACAAGCCCAGTGAACCAGACCAGGAATCAGTAGAGACCTCAACGATAACCACGGTTACTACAGCTAGGGGAAATGGCAGCGTACTCAACCCAATGGACAATATTCATTTTCTTCTCTATGTAATACTTGTGCTGTTTTTTGTGCATTAAGGTTGAAGTGAACATGAATTGCCTATATGCTTTTCTCAATTCTTTATTACAGGATGAACACAAGCATATCAGAAAAGTAAAATTTATTTCAACTTACTCTTAAAGAAATTACCATTATCCTAGCTTGCTCTGGTTAACTGCATATTTTAGTCAAAAGTGTAAAATAAACATAATTTCCTTCCTTATAATAAAAGCCTGTATTTCATATTAAATGATTAAACAAGTAAATACTAAACATCTGTATTTTATTAATTGTTTAAAGGCAGAGTTACACAGAGAGAAGAACAGACAGAGAGATGGAGAGACAGATCTTCCATTCAATGGTTTGCTCCCCAAATGTCCTCAGCAGCCTCAAGGTAGAAGCCTGGATGGGTGGCAAGGGTCCAAGGACCTAGGCCTCCTCTGCTGTTTTCCCAGGTGCATCAACAGAGAGCTAGATCAGAAGTAGAGCAGTCCAGACAGAAATCAGGGCTCCTATGGGTACCCCAGATGGAAGCTTAACCCATAATACTACAACATCAGCTCCCAACATTTACATTTTAAATGTTTGCAGAACTAAATAAACTCAGAAACTTAAAGTTGTAAGAGAAGAAATAATGTAGACAGCATTTAACAGAAGTATGACTGAGAGACGTGAGCATGTGTGTGTAAGGCAGAGAATGACAGAGTTGTGACATAAAGGTAGGCAGGGAGGGAGATGACGGATGAGGAACTGTGCGAGAGAAGCAGTTTTTGTGTTTCTTACTTAAATAAACAAAACTACGCTAATCTGTTAAAATACAGTGCCCTATAAAACATCAATCTATACTTCCATGTCTATTAATGTGTAACAGTAATTTATCATTCTAGTAAAAAAAAAAAAGGATGCCAATTCTGCTAACCTCTGTGATGTATGATACTGCTGTTCCAATAAAAATATAAATCTTACTTCGAGAAAAACCTTGTTTCAAAAGATCATTTGCAACTTGTGATGCCTAAAAACTCTATCTTAAAAAATTCTATTTCCTAAATGTTGGACATATTTTCATGTTGGTCTATAAAGGTTGATCCAATCCAAATTTTAGTATCTAACAGTAACAGTAATAATAAGCATGTTATTATAGTGCAGTTTTCAAGATCTTCAGATTTCAAATCCAACTCTGATTCTTAACAGTTAGGTTACAATAGATTAAACACTCAACACGTTCAGCTGAGTAGGGTATCTGCTAAGTATGTAGTTAAGGTTCTGAACAAGATGGTTTTTAAGTTTACTTTCATGTCAATGAAAGGCAGATACATATACATACATGCAAATAGATTTTTAAAAGAAAGGAAAAGAAAGAGTGGGGTGATGGAGAGAGACAGAGAGAGATCTGCTATTTGCCGGTTTACTTCCCAAATACCCAGAACAGTTAGGATTGAGCCAGGGCAAAACCAGGGAGCAGGCTTCCACCCAGGTCACTCACATAAGTGGCTTGGGCCCAAGTATTTGAATCATCAACTGTCTTCCTCCAGGATACAGCAGCAGAGACAGGGAAGGAGAGATGGAGAGAGAGGCCTTCCATCTACTCACTGATTTCCTAACCGGCTACAAGGACTGAAGCTACATCAGTGTGAAGTCAGAGTCTGTAGCCTTATCCTGGTTTCTGGCATAGGTGAAAAGGCCCAAGGACTTGGGTCATGCTTGCACAGGCACATTAGCAGGGTGCTGGATCAGAAGTGAAGCAGGGCCCAGCATAGCAGCCTAGTGGCTAAAGCTCTAGCTTCACATGCACCACAACACCATACGGGTGCTGGTTTGCATCCCAGTTGCTCCATTTCTCTTTCAGCTCCTTGCTTGTGGCCTGGGAAAGCAGCAGAGGAAGGCCCAAAGTTTTGGGCCGGTGTACCCACGTGGGAGACCTGAAGAAGCTCCTGGCTCCTGGCTTCAGGTCAGCTCAGCTCTGGCCATTTCAGTTACTTGCAAAGTAAACCAGCAGATGGAATATGTTTCTGTTTGTCTCTCCTCTCTATAAATCTCTTTACAACAAAAATAAATAATTCTTAAAAAATAAAAAGAAGTGAAGCAGTTGGGTTAAACCAACATCGATATGGGATGCAGGTGCTGCAGGTGGCATCTGAATGCACTATGCCATAGTGCCCATCCCTTTTACCCACCTTTCAACAATGAATTTCTAGAATGTGAATAGGATCCAGGCCTAGATAACAAAGGAATTCCCTCTTGCCATAGTATCTAGCTCATTTTGGCAAATGACTGGAGACAGTTTAGTAAGACCAATCACATTTGCTGCAGAAGTTGTTAGGCTGGTAGGAAAGAAACCCTTGCTAGTCATAGCTTGGGAAAAGTTGCCTGGGAATGAAGCCAACACAAGAGAGTATAGTCAGGAGCCAAAGAAGATAGACATCCTCCACAGCTGACACTGTGCAGAGTTTTCCACCTCGTTCTGCAAGAAGCTAAAATATCCTCTTGATCTTAGGTGTATGTGTTGCTTTGTGCAACTTCACTGGTGGGTTTCTGTCAAAGGCACTGACTGACAAGCCAGCCCCTTGTAAGCCTTTACCCATTCTTAACTCACTGTAGAGAAGGAAAAGCTTACAGTGTTGACTTAGGGGGAAAAAATAAATAGCTTTGACATTTTCTAGAAAGCATTGCTCTCTCTTTGAAAACAAATAAGAAGTTAGAGGGGCCAATGGGATGGCACACTTCTATCTCCCTTAATAATGTCTATTTCATGCAAAAAGTCAAAATATTTTGCTAATATAAACAGATTTGGGGAAATGCAGACATGATAACTGGGAGGAGAGTTGGAAAGAGAACTTTAATGGGAAGGAAAGCAGTGGCCCAGAGCAGTACAAGTGAGGGGCAAAGACAAACGCCATCTTCCCTACTTCCCAGATTCTCAAGTCCCCCTGTTTTTTGGACTTACTGGTCCTGCTGTCTAAAGTTTCCCATATCCTACTTTTATTTCTTCAATTCTTTCCCACTATTTCTCCATTTCTATTTGTTTCTGACACATTACCAATTTCTGACACCCGTGACTATTAATCCACAATTTGTATCAATTTCAGATTAAGTCTGAGGAAGTTATAGAACTCAGATTAAATAGAATCTTGAGGGATGTTGAAGTTGCCTATGATACCACACTGTCTCTGAAGTTCAGCTACTGTCAATTTGTATCATACCAGAAGGGAAGTTGTAAAACTGATCAACACTGGCAAACATGAGTTCTCAAAGGTGAGGTATAACGACGCAACAAAGTGAAAGCAGTGCAAGCACCACACCTTTCACTAAGGAGGAGTTTATGGCATTTCCACCAAGCTCTTCTGGAGTTGGCCGTGACTGAGGAACACACCAAATACGACCCAACACTGTCCCCTGTGCTGTTTACACAGAGATTTCCCACAGCTCCTTTGAATGAATTTCCATATCACCCTGACACAGTCTTACACAGCCAATTACTAACATTTACCAGGAAAAGCAGGCACTTAGCATTTTATCTCTTCTTTGAAAAAAAGCTCCCGATCATCACATGGCAGATAGTATTTAACCAATATACCTGAAAACAAATATGTGTTCAGAGTTTTCACTCTTACTAATTAATCAATGGTAGCTAGGACACAGATACCAACAGGAAGGAAGCAGTCTGAGATCCATTTCTAATACACAGGCAATATTTTAGGAGATAAAGACTGTTGAGCAGTAATATTCTTTAAGGTAAGCTTTTCAATTCCTAAACCAAATAGGAAAAGGCATACTATTTGTTATTATTTTTAATAATAATTCTGTTAATTGAAATAGAAACACAGCCTTTCTTACCTTCGTGCAACATAGTAAAAAATAGGATTCCCAGCTTTGGAAGTCCCAGCTTGGTAGAAAATACTTAATGTTTTCAAAGCCTTGAACTCTTCTTTCTCATGTACCTGATGCCTAAAATTGAAAAAAAAAAAAGTGACTCACAGGTTTTGTATTGTTCACTAAGAATGTTAAAAACCCTAGGATTGCATCAAGAATAAGATATATTTTAGAAATGACAAAATATTTTAAAAGTACCTGTTCTACAGAGCAGTTTGGCAACGGGCACCAACATATCCAGGATGCTACTCTCTGAACCACAAAAATACTTTGAGGATTATACTAAGAAAACGACTAGACAGAGATATTAACCACAGACTGCTTTCACTTACGTTGTTTTCTAGACACATGTTTCTGAAACTCTAAGACCTTGTTTTTATGAGTTCAGCTTAGCAAAGTTTTCTGTTCCAGTTTATGGATTCTGAATGGATGGGAACGGCCATTCTTTATCTCTATTTTCTTCTTTGATTCCATGGCTTATCCTCTTGAATGATATGAACACTTTTTTCTAAATGGTTACTTAACTGTTTGTATTAACATCTTTTACTGAATGTTCAATTTAACTTCCCTGCTACTGAATAGTGTTTTTATATATATGTTCTATGTTTTCATCTATATGTTCCTATGTTTACTGAAAGATATTTCTGAAAAAGCACGGTTTAATTTTTATATATTCTGTCCAAGACTCAGAATGTTTCTTTAATCTCAAAACTGATGTCAGCCACCAACCCTGGGAAATTCTCATTTATCTTCTCTTCAAATATGACCTTTTCCCCATTCTCACTAAACTTGATTCTGCAACATTTATTGACAGACCTTGGACTTCTTATTCTGCTTCTGTTATATTTGTCATATATTTATTTCTTTGTACTAACATGCTAGGTAATTTATTTGGCAAATATTCTCCAACTACGTGTTTTTAAAATATTTTATTTTTAAAATACAGGTTGAATATTTATTAGCTGAAATACCTAGAACTGGAAAATGTTCTGAATTCTAGGTTCTTCCAGCTTTTGTAGTATTTTCATACACACAGTAAGATACCTCTGGGTTAAGAATGGAATCCAGGACCCAGTACGGTAGCGACTAAATCTTCACCTTACACACACCAGAATTCCATATGTGTACCAGTTCCTGTTCCTGGCTGTTTCACGTCCCATCCAACTCCCTGCCTGTGGACTGGAAAGAATTAGAGGACAGCCCAAAGCCTTGGGACCCTGCACCCATGTGAGAGACCTGGAAGGCGCTCCTGGCTCCTGGTTTTGGATCAGCTCAGCTCCTGTTGTAGTGACCACTTGGAGAGCGAACCAGTGGATGTAAAATCTTTCTGTTGCTACTTCCCTCTGCAAATCTGCCTTTCCAATAAAAAGAAAAAAATCTTTAAAAACAAAAAAAAAAGACTGGAATCCAAACCTGTACTCATGTTCTTTTTTTTAAAGACCATTTGACAGGGGAAAAAGATATGTGCATAGATAAACAAATGGGAGGTTATTCATTAGATGTTAACTAAGTTATTTTTAAGAGGGAGGATAACAAAATTCGGTATTACTTTCTAATTTATGTTTACTTTTGCATAGTTTAATAATTGGGTTTTTAGTTACTGACAAAGTACGAAGTGACCTTCATTTTTTTTCAAATAAAAATACATCTCAAAGAGCATCAGTGTGAATTTAGAAGAGAATCAAACTAACTTCTAACACTAAATACTGTGCTTGTAAGAAATGCTCTTACAGTATATATTTTAAATTGTTCCGTCTCCAAAGCACAGAAAATTGTTTTGCAAAGAAGTCGTCTTTGGTAAAAGATAGTAACAAAGTAATCTTCTCAGAAAAAAATAGACTAACAGCTTAGATATTCTTAGTAATGTTTTTTTAAATTGTTAACAACATTGTATTATGTGATACAGTTTTATAGGCACTGGGATTCCCTCTACCCCTCGTAATTTTAAAGCAGGTAATATGGAAATTTCATACAGAAAATAATTACACAGTAATAAACACTTATTATACTGAGAAAAATCTAATAGAGCTAAAATAAGATCACATATTTTTATATTCTAATTCTCTTATTCATGTATTCTTTTAGCAACATCAATGAATTGGAGTCAGTTGTACACACAATTCATATGCAATTTGATCAGTAACAGGTACTGTCAATGCAAGACATATTACAAGCAAATCTAACGTGAATTAACTTCTGATTGCCAGATTCTAGAATTTTCTTCTCAATCTCTTTGCTTTTGGCATATACTGTGAACAAAACACTCAATCCACAATTACTCTGTGTATTTATAAAGTGTAAAGCATGTGAAAGACACTTAGAAAACTAAAGGATTTAACAAACTACTTTAACTTTACCAGCATAGAGGAATTTAACAACGAGGACCTTTTATTTCATAAACTAAATCCCTTTGAGATTCAATGCAAATGTCCACAAAACATTTACAGTAACCTTGAGACCTATTTTTTGAACTTCAACCTAACAAAATGAGAACTATTAACATAAAAATTAAACAGAGTTCTAAAATTTACTATAGTATGGCAATAAGAATCTAACACCTCAAACCAAAAAAATTTATGAGGTAGTTGTGGAATCTTAGGTAAACCAGTTATTCATATTGAGTTATATGTTCTTTATAATATGAAAATAATAATGTCTGAACATCATTTTTAGCATTAAATGTAAAATCAAAGCAAGAAGATAAAATATAGGTTGATAAGATAGTATGGCTTTTGCAAATCACAATGCAAAATTAGACAGGAGTTCTTCAAAAAGTTCATGAGAAATACAAATTGCAAAAAACTATGGATTTCAAATTTTTCTTGAACCAAAATAAAGTTAACCTTAAATTTCATTCTCATTAACCTTCTCAGAGTATTATATCAGGGTACTTGGAAAAATCTTGGAAACAGAATTCTTAAAAGCAATATGCATTTCATGTAAACTTTGTGCAAACTCCTCACAGAAACAATAGGAATAAAGCTGGTTCTCAGAACTTGGCCATGGTATTATTATTGTATATATCTTTTTTGATAAATATGCTTATAATTTTGAGAGACGAACAAATGGCACAGTGACAAAATTTGGCTTTGGAACCAACAGAAATGCAATCATCAATTCAAGGATGTACTTTACCTAGTCATAAACTCCTCAAACTTGGAGCTAGTGAGGTTAAGGCTGGACCAGTGTGTGTCTGCCACAGGCTTGTGCTCCGGGGGCCCCAGGTACGCGAGAAGTGTGGCCATTTTATCAAAAGGTCGTCTTCCAACAGCTTTATGGTCCCTAGAAACAGCAAATCACTCAGGAAAACAGAAGCAGTTCACACACTGAACAGCACATATGTCTTTAGAACTTCACTGGTGGTTTTCACTGCCAGCTGGTGATCCCTGCTGATTTGTTAACTGCACAAAAAGACCTAGGGATTTTAAGTGTTCACTGAAACAGCTGAAAAATGACCAGTCCCTAAGCCACAAACATTGAGCTTTTTCTAGTGTTCCTAATTTGTTACCACTCAGAGGTCAATTGATCAATTAGTAAAATATTCCAATTCACTTTCACTGAGGGTAATAGGAAATCTACCTAGACAAACAACAATAACAACAACAACAATAAGAAGAAGAAAAGAAAATAGACCCCTGCTCAATCAGGGGAAATACAAATTTTCAAAAACCATTCAATGCTTAAAGCCATGTAAGAATAAGACACTATTTCAGAATCTGGCTAAACCCATGAAGACCGACAACCCCAATGAGAATGCTCACAGCATCAAAGCACACTTTAACATTTGGCAATATCTAGTAAAATTGAGGCAGGATACATACACTGCAGATCTGGCAATCACACATTCAGGTAATACAAAAGGAGATGAATATGGAGATATGTATTGCTGGAAGTAAATCTAAATGTTCATCAAATAGAATATGGACAATCATTTAATGAAATAACAATAAGTTAAGAAATCTCAAATAGAATGCTGTATGTTCATATTCATGTTATCATTCCTGAAAACTTTCAAAACACACAAAACAACTTTGCATATTTCTATACCTTCCTTTTGTTTTCATATGAGTAGAACATAAGAAAAGCACAACGAGAACCATATTACCAGCTTTAGATATCTCTAGATTGTCAAAAGGAAGCCTCAAGAAATAAAACACCACAAAGATTAGGATCAGGGCCCGGCGAGGAAGGCTAGTGGCTAAAGTTTTTGCCTTGCATGCCCAGAATCCCCTACAGACACCAGTTCACGTCCTGGCTGCTCACTTCCTATCCAGCTCCTTGTTTGTGGCCTGGGAAAAGCAGCAGAGGATATCCCAAAACCTTAGGACCCTGTGCCCAAGAAACATGGAAAGTATTCCTGGCTCCTGACTTCTGGTCAGCACAGCTCTGGTCATTGCAGCCACTTAAGGAGTGAGCCAGCAGATGGAAGATTGTTCTGTGTATCTCCTCTCATATATAAAGCCTTTCCAATAAAAATAAATAAAACTTTAAAAAAGACAATGCTGAAGATGGGTAGCAGATAAGCTATTACATTATCATTTATGCTTCTTTCTGTGTTTGTAATGTATACAGAGTTTAGGCACCTGAGTATTACTGCTGCTTCCCAAGTCTACATGAGCAGGAAGGAAAGGTCAGGAGCTGCAAGCAGGAACAGATTCCAAGTTCTCCAACATGGGGTGTGGGTATCGACACTGCTACGTTCAATGCATACCTCTAAAAAGTGCAGAGTTTTTCCAAAACGCAAAATTTAAAAGTTTCTGTAGGGCCCAGCACTGTAGCCTAGTGGTTATTCTTCACTTTGCATGCATCAGGATCCCATTAGGGCGTTGGTTCTAATCCCAGTAGCCCAGCTTCCCAGCCACCTCCCTGCTTGTGGCATGGGAAGGCAGTTAAGGACGTCTCAAAGCCTTGGGACCCTGCACCTGTGTGGAAGAGCCGGAAGAGGCTGCTGGCTTTGGATCAGCTCAGCTTTGTCCACTGCAACCACTTGGAGTAAACCAGCGGATGAAAGTTCTTCTTCTCTGTGTATCTGACTTTCCAATAAAAATAAATAAATCTTTCAAAAAAATTCTCTAGCAATAAACTGTGAATATATATCTAAGCTATATAAAGAAAAGAAGGTCCACATAAAAGTTCCATAGTTTACTCTGTTGTCATACCCAGGCCTATGTGAATTCACTTAATTCATAAAGGATTAGAATGTCCTGTCTTTAAGACATCATCTCTTAACTGCTTACCTTTATCCTCATGGACACCTACCTATCTTGTGAATGAGTGAATCAGTTTTCAGTGGCATGTAAACTAATATAGCAGTAGATTCTGTGGTGACACAGTTTAAGTGACTACCTGGAACATCTACATTCCACATCTGAGTGTAGATGCAAATCCAGGCTCAACAGATTATTGTGAAGTACTTGCCCTCGTGCCACGCACGAGGGAAATGAAGTCCCTAGCTCCAGCCTGGTCGATCCCTGATTACTGTGGGTATTTGGGGAATGAATCAATATACCCGCTTGCTCTCTCTCTACCTTTCAAGTGGATGAAGATAAAAATCTTCACCTTCATTTGTAAGGGAATTCCTCATGCATAGGACAAGTATCCTATGTCATGAGAAACTTAAATAAAAAATAATAAATAACATCAACCGTATCTAGATAGGCTTGCGGGTGAGTTAGCGTAACTTAACTTTTGATTATATATATGTGTATATATATATTTTAGAAGTCCTCATTTCTTTTTCTAAACTATAACTCTTATTCCAAGAAGATGCAGTTTAGAAAACACTATGCCATGCATTATTAACACCAGTTTAACCTGAGTGCTCAATTTCCCCTTGACTGCAAAGTCTTACCTATTGCTGGAAAGATACTGGCCAATTTTCTCTTGATTATTCCACAGAAGACGATGTAAAGCAAGAACGTTGCCATCACTGATGAAGGAAAGACTGTGATTTACTGCATCACTTGTAGGGCAATCTGATGCTATATCAAGGAAAAACCTTAAAAAACAAAAAGCCAATAGAAAATTCTACATCAGATACACATCTAATTATAAGTGAATTAAATTTATATGAAGTCAACAGTGTGAAGTAATCGAGGTTACACAGATGGAGGGCTCATTCACACACTGTGATTATCAGCAAATGCAGAAGAAGGACCAGGATAAAGTTGGCATTTCATTTTTGGTACCTGACTTTACCTGCAGAGAAGGATCTTAAGTCAGAGAATAAAGTATTTAGATAGCTGTTACTTTGGAGTATAGTTAGTATTTCACAAATGATGAAGCTGGAACCCAGGAAAGATAAAAAATCTTCTCCTAGTTACACAGTCTATTAGTTCAAGATCAGAGTTGTGGTTCCTTGAAGTTCTAGGAGTAGTCAGTCAACCTGCTAGTGGATGAATCCCACACTGAGTTTCTTTTTCTCTTCAGTATTGCTTACAGTTCACCAAGCTACCAAAGTAAAACCTGGAAGAGGGCTGTATAAGGCTAACTGAGACAACATGTCAGACCAATCAGATTCATTCTGTGTGCCACATAATTCAAACATTGAAATAAATATATATTTAAAAAACAAACTTGAAAAAAAGTAAACTCTGGACATAATTCACGTGTACAAGGTACTTTCTCATGAATTATCTCACTTGTTTCTCTAAAAACAACTGATGCAAACATGATACCACGACTACTGATAACTAAAAATTTGGAAATACAGTAACTAGTTACAGAATTTCAGAGTTTTCTAAAGCATTCAATCTCAAGAGTTGTTCAATTACATGTGAATGAAACCCTGTGTGTTGTACTAATTGATTTAAAGAGCAACTTGTCAGTTTAGATACACTTCTAAACTGAATTATCATAAGCATTTTTAGCATTAAAAGACACTGATGAAATACTATTACATATTATCTGTATAAGTTTTTTGCTGTTTAGTTTTGTGTTTTTGCTGTTGCTTTTGTTTCTATTTTGAGAGGCAAAAGGAGACAGGCAGACAAAGTTTCCATCCACTGGTTCACACCCCAAACACTCAAAATGGTTGTGGGCTAAGCCAGGGCCTGAAGCTCAGACACAGGAATTCAATCCAGGTTCTCCTTCAAGAGTGACAGAAACTCAGTCACTTCTGTCACCACCACAGTCTGCATTAGCAGAAGCCTGGGGTTGGGCACTGAAGCCAGATTTCCAACACAGACACTTCACAGCATGGATGTACATGTCTTAAACCCTGTGCCAGGGGTGGGAGACCATTTTATTTCCATAACTCACGAGCCATACAAAATCATCAGCTTAAACATTAGCCAACATTGAGTGAGTTTATTGAATTTCAAACCCAGACCAAATGATCTCCCAGGCATCATATGGCCCTAGGCAAGACATTCACTATTCCCACTAAGGCCAAAATCCTCCCAGTGGTTTTGGTTTTAATAAAAGCAAACTTCAGGCCCAGTGGCTTAAGTCCTAACCCTTAACGCACAGGGATCCCATAGGGGTGCTGGTTCTGATCCCAGCAGCTCTACTTCTCATCCAGCTCCCTGCTTGTGGCCTGGGAAAGCAGTCGAGGATGGCACAAAGCCTTGGGACCCTGCACCCACGTGGGAGACCTAGAGGAGGTTCCTGGCTCCTGGCTCTGGATTGGCACAGCACCGGCCATTGCGCTCACTTGGGAAGTGAATCATCGGACGGAAGATCTTCCTCTCTGTCTCTTCTCCTCTCTGTATATCTGACTTTCCAATAAATAAATAAACCTTTAAAAATTAAAAAAAAGAAATCTTTAAAAAACTAAAAAATAAAAGCAAACTTCTTCTTTGCCCCTTCAGTAGAACTGCCTCAAATCCTTTGTTTTCATGAACATGTCAAAAATTCCTCTTGGTATTCAAATATGGAAGTTATCACCACATTCGTGTATAGCAAAATAAGACAAACTATGTTCTTGACCTAGACAGGAAAAAGAAAAACCTACACAGGAGCTCCACAAACACAGCTACAAGGATTTAAGGGACACAGACAATCTTGGGTTCAAACATGGCAAACAACCAAAGGCAGGCTGCTTACCTTCGAGCTGCATCAAAGTTGCTTTTCACAAAGTCATTAAAAGGCCGCATATGCTCTTCTTTTGTGAAGAGAACATGATTGGCAATACTCTGAAGTATCTAAACAATCAAATTTTGGTATAAGTAATTATTGATTATTATAGACAGTCTATTCTTTTAAAAGAAGTATCAATTTTCTCTTGATATACTTTTACTGATAGTTAAAATCAACCATTCCATAATCTATAAATTATTCTAGATGCTATTTCTATTCTTTCCAAATAGAAATACAGCAATTTTATTTATGCAGATTTACACATATAAAAAATTTTAAATGCCTTTGAAACTAAAAAATTCTAAAGCCTGTATTTCAATGTTCATTCCAAAATGTCCATAATGATCACACAGAAAATAGCCCTAAAACTAGACATTTGGCAAAATGTTTTCCCATGATAATAAACCCTAGCAGGTGATCTCCTTTGTAATAGAAATAAACAAATAAAAAACCCCAAAACAACATACATAAAAACCACAGACAAATCAAAAGATAAATTCAAGAGGAAGTACTGTGTCACAAACTGAAAAAGTATTTGAAAGGAAATGTCAAGACAGCTAGATTATCCAAACAATTCACCTTTGACATTAACTTCAAGCCCCTTTCGATTCTAGGTGGTGGCTTTTTATCTAAAATGCCTGCTTCATACGGTGACACAATGGCGGGATTGATAAATCTGAGGAACATGGCACTTCCTACTGCACCGATGCTGTTTTGAGGAAAACGCTGGCTAACCACCTAAAAACAAGGAGTGGAGAATTCAGTATGAGGTTTGAAGCAGAACAAGGAAATGCGAACAAAGAGCTGAAGAGGCAAACCTTACACAAACAACTCTGAATCCATTAAGCATCACAAAATTTTCTATTTTTCTTCTCTCCAAATTTCAGAAAACACAGTTTCCCCTTAACTTTAATCCCATTTGAGTTTAGAGCACAATTAAGCAACCTCAGGGGAGAGAAAAGCCTCACGGTTGAACTGCGCAGGAGAGGACAGAGGAATGATCTTTATTATCATTGTCTACACTAAAGTGGGATGAGCAACAAAAGCAAACCAAACTAACACACATGAAAGTGATCAAACTTTAAGAAGAATAACAGATATGACAGCTTGATCAAACTCCTAGAAGGTGAAGTTTCCAAACGTACACCCCTGGAATGCCCTATACCTAAATAATAAACATTCGACATTTTGCTGTGGACTACATACAATGGATTTTCTTAAGAAAAATGTTTCTCATGAAGAAAACAAAATTTCTTAGATTGTTACTGGAGGTAGGGGGAATCCTTCCAAGTAAGGTTACTGCCAATTCTCTACCTTCATTACCATGCTTCCTGGTAAAAGGCCTAACCATCATTTAAACCATGGAGGAAAGGGATTGTTGGAAACCTAAAAGAAAAAGAATTCTACCAGAAGAGAACCCATAAGGTCTACCTCAGTTCATTATCTACCAAATAAACAACTTACAGCTTAAGAAGCAACTGCCCATTCTGCAAAGCAGAGTAACCCAGTACTGCAGTGGATTTGATTTCTCTATAAAACATGTGACACTGAAAATAAATCTTACAAAAAAAAGAAAGAAAGAAACATGTGACATTGAAGACGGTGTGGATGGGTCCTTTATCAGAAAGGGGGAAAGTGTTTTGGAAACTGCCTGAGCTTCCATTTTGTCCCAAGGACCCATTTTAAGTCAATTTCACAGATAGAAATTGTATTCTAAAATTCACATGCTTATACTACATACATAAATATATTGCTAAAGAACACACGTACAACATTCTAATTTTCACAATAATTTTTGCCTGATGTGGCTGACATACTGAAAGCAGAGATGACAAGGAAAGTAAAGGTAAAGCATTTGAGGTTATATATCCTGAGATTCCAGGAATAAAACGGTGTTTCAAAGGGTACTAAGGAAAATAGGATGAAACAGAATTTCCATGCAGAACCTCACTTAATTGTTATTCTTCACAATAATTTCAACATGGCTCACTGACTCCAGATTAACTCTAGAAAACAATAGGTTTTGTTTTCATCATTCTATTTCATTTAATGTATCATGTGGTCCAGTTTTAAGTATATTCTTACCTACTGCCTATATTCTTCAAAATAAAAAAAAAAGTTAAGATTGTTGAGAACAAACTATAACACTGAAGAAAATGTGATGGTATTGCACCCAAAATGCACATTCTTTGTGGTGCACAGAGAATTAGCTTTACACTCAAACAGGAATCTGGTGAGGCAGCTAACCACAGCTGTCTTAGCAAAATGGCTCTAATACCGAAGCATGGTTTGCTTTTTTTGGCTGATATACAAATACAGTTAAGAAAACTCAATTGCTTTTACTATTCTAATGACGTGTTGTTTAGCCTTTCATAATAAATAAAGGTGACTGTGAAAGTTAACTGGAAGTCAGAAAAATGAATGCATGTAAGCAAACAGACAAATGGATTTCAGAATGTTCATAAATCACCATAGCAACTGAGTAGTTCTTTAGAATTTTCTAATTTTAATTTTAAAACAGACAAAACATAAACAAATCTTCAAGATTCTACAGCATTTAAGGACAGTAAACCAGCCGGAAGGAAGGGGATTAAAAACTGCTTTAAATTCCATAGGAAGTTATTTACAAAGAGTTAGCATGTATTCAACTTAATCCATTAAAATCTTGAAATGGCTTTTCAAGAAGTTAAATGCTACAATCTGGCTCACAAAGAACCAGTTTAAAGAAATACTAGTTTTCTGTTGTATGTGTCTCATAAAAGTTAGTACTTTAATATACCAATAAGGTTCTCTTCTGATTTTCTATGGGACAAAAGTGTTTCAACTCATGTCTGGTTTATACTTAAGGGTAACCTGTTGCAATAACCCACCGAATGAAAAATCTCACTGAATTATTTCCCAAAAGGAGAATATTGTAAAAATTATAGAAACTACTACATTTTCATCACTTTCCATGTCTCCAAAAATTCATGTAAAAATACAAATTATCTACATCTCAGGAAAAAATGCTGTTCCATGTTTTACATAAATATACACCTCATGGATGGCAGTATTAATAAACTTTTGGTATTAAATTTGATAATACATAAACAGTATTAAAACACTATAATAAGCTATGAATTTATAAAACGACTTTTACTTTCACTACAAGTTAACATAAATGCAACTTTACTTCATGTACACAAAAGTATTTTAAAAACAATACATAAAATATCTAAACTGTATCTACACAACCCTTAGCACAAAAGGTCATAGTTGGGCCAGTCTTTGTTGAATTCAGTTATCAGCCAATGTTTCCTTTGCTTCCCCTAGCAAAAATGCTGGACCACATAATGCAAATAAATACATGTATAACCTGCTCATCAGCAAGAGCATTACCACCTATTACTGTAAATTTTCCTGGAGCTATGCAGACAATTAACTTCCAAAGTTCGCCCAAATAGAATTAGTTGCAGTATGACCACACAGCTATCCTGCATAAGCCAGACCTTTTCTCTGTATTTGACAGAATCAAATCCATGATCTACATACTCTGAAATAAAATCAGCTTGCTTGTAAAAGATCATTACACAGCTGAGCAAGCAACTGCATAAAATGACATTTCAAGTTCGTGCTGACTTTGGCACTGGCTTTGAAGGGTATCTCAGGCTAACAGTAAAGATTCCCCATTTCCAGGATGGCTTCACATCATCTATGCTCAGAAAGACAGTCCAAAAATCAAATAATCTGAAAATAAATCTAACAGGGAATAAAACACAATTCAAGGAATAATTGTAGATACAATCTTAATAAATAAGGCAATATTAGAAAGGCTAGGAAACATGCTCTAGGAAAACACAAAAGCTTAAGATTTAAATTATGTAATACACCACAAACAATGGAATTAGTGTAACACTAGACAGAGTGTTAGGAACAATAAATTAATTTCAAAAGTGCTAGTGTATATTACAGTAAATCCACATACAGTGAAATTAGAAGGCTGAAGCATTAGAAAGAAATGTTTTTATTAAGCAAAAAACCAAAAAGGCCATCCAATCAAACACATTGCTCACAGCTGACCAAATTTACTTAACATATCAAAAAGGAAATTCTAAAAGAACATAAAAGTAAATGTCTCTAAATTTTAACTTGGTTCTGAATTTTAAACAGAAATTTACATTTAAAGCTTTATTGTATATAAAGCTCAGACAAGGAATGAAAGATGAAACCAGATCAATACTATATTCTAAATTACACCTTTTTAAGAAAACCACTCACTCAGCTCTTAAAGGTTTGCTTTAATTTTCCGCTGAAATAATTCGGACTATATGAAAAGGAAGGACTCAGCCTCATAAGAATAAGTCACACTGACAGATAAATAGCAAATCGAAAAGGAATGTATAGGATGTTTAAGAAAAATTATATTCACTGGAAGAAAATATCATGATTATAATTTTTCTTCCTTTAAAATTAGGGAAAGTTCATGGAAGCAGGCTATACATATCATGCTTGTGAAATGAAATATTTATAGTTTTACTTCAAAATTAATACATTCTCATCTTAATAATGTAATATTGCTTTTCTCTGAAGTAAAAGTAGTTTTACCACTGGATTTTCTATATTCAAAGCACGATCATCTAAAATCTGGTTGAAATTTTCTAAATAAAAATATAAGGAATCAAAATAAAAACTTAACCTTGACTATGATTTAGAAAAAGCACTTTCCTGCTACATACAACAATTAAGAAACACGTTCACTTCTAGGTAAAGAAAGCACTCACATTCCCTGCAAACCAGAGGCAGGAATGAAGAGAGTCAGCATTTCCTATGGCCTTGAAATTAAGTTTTAAAAATTCATTTATAATATTTTAAATGGCAATAATAAAATTAGATCAAGGATGTCCAATGCAACAAATGCCCACAAAATGCCTTTGGGATAAATCAAACCAAAGGAACACAGAGAATGTTTTCATGTAACTTAATTCCAGGGTTAATTGAAATGAAAGCTATTTTGTGCCAGAATTAGTAGAATGATTTTACAGTGAAGGTCAAATAGGCTGAAGTGCAGATGTTTTTAACAAACAGCAAAAGATTTTTGTTTGGCTTTGAAAGAAACAGCTAATAAAAAGTTCTCCAAACTTACTGATTTTTTGTTTTCCTTTTTTTCTTTTACTGTAGCTTTATTCAGTAGGGAGTGGCAAGTTGCCTACAGAACAGAGATGAGCACAAACAAGTCACAGCACCGACTACATACAGCAACAAAAACAATGTTGGCTTGTACATAAAATTACATGATAAAATGTAACACAAATGGAATCAACAAAAAAAATTAGGAATCAACTGAATTTTGAGGGGTGAATTTAATTCTGGATTTAATTTTTATTACATTTTTATGCCAAGCACTAAATAAACAGCAAAAGATGTTGAGAACCAATCATGTCTACTACTTCTGGCTATGAATTACAGAAAAACTCTATAGTGAATTTGAAAATATTTAATATTTACATTTAAGTTAATTCCTGGCTTTTAATACATTTTATATAAAATATTCAATAAAAGTTCCTGTGCTAAAAAGCATTTTTGTCTTCCTATATTTTTTTCTGGACATGTCAAATATTTCTCTGTGTATCCTTCAATTGACTTAAAGCTATTTTTTCAACATTCAGCATTTAATTATTAATCCTGATAATACGAAAATTAAACAGCTCAATGTAACAGAAAATGTACTTTAGAGCTTCTAAATCAGAAAATTTCCTTTTCAAAAAGACTAATCTAAAAATTGCACATAATTTTCAATGTTTGCAGGCTGCTTTCTGAAATGGTTCTAAACAGAAGAGGTTAAAAGCTCTGTAGCATTTGGGAGAAGGATCTTATCAGTTCAACTAGAAAAAAAGCATTAATTGATATGAAAATGAAGAAACTGCAGAAAGAAATTATAGTCTGTAGGTCTGCTTGAAGTCTGATATTATAACTGATCACTTATCAGAATATTCTGAAAAAGAAACAGCCACCCCAAAAACTCCAAAGATTTACTGTTTTCCTCTACTAAAGTTCCTCTCCAAGGAATTCCTTCTGAATCACAGGACCCAATATTTCACTAGACTAGCAAGGACAGTAATTCTTAAAACCAAGTAAGAATTCATGGGCCCGGTACAGTGGCCTAGCAGCTAACGTCCTCTGCTTGAATGCACTGGGATCCCATATGGGCGCCGGTTCTAATCCCAGCAGCCCCGCTTCCCTTCCAGCTCCCTGCTTGTGGCCTGGGAAAGCAGTCAAGGATGGCCCAAAACTTTGGGACCCTGCACCTGCATGGGAGACCTGGAAGAAGTTCCTGGCTCCTGGCTTTGGATCGGCATAGCATCAGCCATTGTGGTCACTTGGGGAGTGAATCATCGGACGGAAGATCTTCCTCTCTGTCTCTCTCCTCCTCTCTGTATATCTGACTTTGTAATAAACAAAAACAAAAACAAAAATAAAAACCAAGTAAGAATTCTTTAATCCACGCCATTTATTCTATGAATTCTGGGCATTCAAGCACCATAACCCACAACCAGTTGGGCTTCAAGTTAGTTTGACATCCATTCAGCTGTCCATCCATCCACACATAGTTACTGTGTGCCTACATGCTGGATGACATTCCAGGCACTGGGAGACAGCAGGAAATCAAAACAACACAGTCCTTCAACCCATGAAGCTTTGGTCTAAACTTTAGGTTTTATATAAAAGTACTACTGGTCACATGTCACAAAAACACATCTTACATTTTTTTTTAAATTACATTATACAGCTATCATTTTGTGAATCACTTCAGTTTGGAGAAGCACATTTACTGGGAAAAGATAATTTTCAGCTTTTTCAGAATTCTCCAAATGGTAGAGAAGACTGTCAGGAGGAAAAACAGAAATATACAAGAACATCCCTTAATTATAAATCGGACTTATGTTCACATTTGAATATTCCTTCACAACTTTAGCCCAGTCCCTAACATAGTGAAGAACATAAATTAATATAGTGGGCTACAACATCATTGCAAAAAGCTTAATGCCAAAAGTATAAACTCAAGGTAAAGAGCTAGAGCTCAGAGGAGTTTACTGGCTAGCGAGATACTCACTTATCTCTCAGAATCTTGCCAGCGGACTCACAAAGCAGGAACTATACTTACTAGAGAAAAAAAATCAACAACTATCCTTCCTAGTGGAAACATAAAAGTATAAAGATATCATTATACTACAGCCAAAGTAAAAAAAAAAAAAAAAAAAACCACAAGAAAACACCAGCAAATAAAAGGATAAAAAAGTGCCAAGGTTTTGGAAGGAGACTCAATAACAACAACAAAATAACATGAGGTCAAATTGTTTTTTCCTATCTTTATAATTGCTGAATATAATTAAAAACAAAATTTCTAAACACCATAAGCATACCTTGGCTCCACAGGATTCCACTCTCCAACGTTAAGCTCACCCAATTATTTAAAAACAATGTCCTCACACAACACTTAAATAATGGTGATAAAGAGAATATTTTTAGGTTAAATTTTAATATAGTAGCTTGAGTTTGTTATTAAAATACATAAGGCAGTTTATATTAAAGTGCTTAAAAAGCACAACACACGATTTCATCAACTACTGGTTGGCTGCACTTGGCTCTAGTGTCTTCTTTTCTGACAAGGAAAGTTGGCGAAATTCTTGTCTACTTTGGTGAGAGGGATGGCGAAATTTATTCTACCATGAAATATTTCCTAAGTGCTTACTAAGTGCCAAACCCTGTTCCTTTTACATGATCAGAAACATGATCTCAGAGCGGTCATCAAGTTTGCTGATATTGCGAACAACCATGTGCAGAATTTCTCCTATCCCCTCCTAGGCTGTGCAATCAGGTGGCTATGTCCCTTCACTTTAAATCAGCCAACATCAAAGCCTTGGACATTTCTGAAACCCATTTGTTCTCTGAAAATAGTCATACTAGACCAGACAAGAAATTGTGCCAAACTATTTTTAATACATTTGGACATTTTCTGTTTGTCTAGTTTCATAAAGAAAAAATTCACTGCATTACTTTTTTTCCCCACTGCATTATTTTTAAAGAGAAACCTAAATAAGTCCCAAGCTTAAAATAAAGTAAGATCTATGTTGTAACTAACCACCTGGAGCTTCAGATTTAACTGGATGAATAAATTATATGGGTCTTGACAAAGCATCCTTGAGCTTTTTTGAAAAGGTAGAAAAATCATGACAAAGACTTAATGCTAAGTATGCCCTATCATCTGTGCATACTGTGGAAAAATTTCAGAGACACAGCTGATAGATCTTTTAAAATAGCAATGAGGAAAAAAATTCATACAGAGCATTCTCAAACAGCTTTTTTAAACGGTGAATTAACTGATGGTTGTTAAAGTCTCTAAGCAACTGAAGCAAAGTGCTAAAACAAAACAAAACTATGGCTGGGGGTGACTGTGTAAATGAGAGAGAGACATGCAAACACGTGATTTTGGCAAATACCTAAGCTCTGGCCCCAGAGTCACCTGGTCTCAAACCTCAGATCCACTAATGCTTCTTTCAGAATTACAGAATACAGAAAGTTACTGCAAATTTTCAGGACCTCCTTGAAGTAAGTATATAATTTCTAAACCTGCACATGCAACTCAAAGAAACAAGAGAAGCACTAGAACAGACCTAATTCCCTCAACATAAGTGGAAGACTGTGGATGTTGGAATTCAGCATTAGTTGCAGTGTTGGTGTTACAAAGTCTAAGAATCTGACGGTCTTCATCGTGTTTGGAGTGGCAAGACTGGCAGCGATTCATAACTGGTGAACTATCAAAACCATTTGAACAAGAAACTCAGAGCATGCCCCATATCCGGGACTTGGGGTGGGTGGGTGGGAAACTCAGTGGGGCTTTTCCTTCAATATCCCCCTTTACCTCAGATACATGAAGGAAACAATATGGAAATAATAGTCTTGCCCACTTCCCTATAGCCCTTGAACCTTTTTACCCTAATTAACTATGTAAAGAATGTCAAAAAGAAAAAAAGAATCTGACAGTCTGAGTTATGACAAATAGTAAAAACACTGCAATTCAGTCTTGACTTGAAAAAAATCTGACATACCCATTACATCTTAATGAAGAAGCCAAAATTACAGATTAAGCACTTTACAATGTGGAAAGCAGGGCCTATCACCTACTATGGGAAAGGTCCTGAAAGAGTTTAGGCAAAAGATAACAACAAATTTGATAACATATCCCAGTTCAGCCACATCCTTCAGACACAGTGCATTTGTTACATTTCACAGCTGCTCCCAACTAAAAGAAATTATAACAATCTAAACTATTTTCTGAAAGTACATCAGAGTGGCTCCTGAAAAATATTTAAGCCTCCTTTAGAGCCAACTTCAACAATCTTAGTGCATGATTCACCCAAATGAACTATTATTGCCAACCACCCGCTATCTGCAGCTAAGTCCTTCCTGGGGTGAGCAATGACCATCTCTAGCTCTGGGCATACCTGGTACAAACAGTGGCACACACTCCGAAGCTGAGGAGGGAACTCAGAGGAAGAGCTGATAATGGCGTGGAAGAATTTCTCAGTCATCTGCAGGAGGTTCCGCTGGTTTTCCTCAAGGCTTTCTGATGGTTCTAATCTGAAAAAAAAAAAAGAATAAATAAGGTGAAATCAAATCTTATCTGCTTAAAACAAAATCCCTCAAAAAAACTCTTTTAAGAGATATGAAATTTAGAATGCTCAACTTTACACCATTCTCTTTAACTACAATGTCTAGATACACTTAAATAAAAGAATGATGGACTTGTGATTGTTGTTAAAGGACTAAACTAATATAATAAGAGGAAAATAATGGTGGTGGGGGAGAAGAGAGGTTGGAAGGGGCAATCCCTAAGCCTAAGGAACTGTTTTATGAAAAAGAAATAATTAAAGGATTGAGAGAGACAGAGAGAGAGAGAGAGAGAGAGAGAGAGAGAGAGAGAGAGGTGAAACCAAATGCAATGTGTGAAGTTTAAATCCTGATTGGGGAAAAAACTAAAAAAAAAAAAAACCCACAATATTGAAGTAGTCAAAAAAAAAACCTTTTAAAAAGATTTATTTTTATTGGAAAGGCAGATATAGAGAGAGGAGGAGAGACAGAGAGAAAGATCTTCCATCTGATGATTCACTCCCCAAGTGACTGCAACGGCCAGGAGCCAGGAACTTCCTCCAGGTTTCCATTGTGGGTGCAGGGTCCCAAGCTTGGTGTTGGGTGGTCCTCGACTGCTTTCCCAGGCCACAAGCAGGGAGCTGGATGACAAGTGGAGCTACCAGGATTAGAACCAGCATCCAAATGGGATCCCGACACGTTCAAGGCAAGGACTTTAGCTGCTAGGCCACCACACCAGGCCCTGAAGTAGTCAAAAAATTTAACATGGAACTGATCATATATGTTAGAGACCATTTTAAATTTTACTATATATAGAAATACTGGGCCTTTTTACATTCTTTTAGAATTTAATTTTTTTTATTGGAAAATCAGATTTACAAAGAAAGAAGTCCACTAGTTCACTCCCCACATAGGCAGCAATGGCTGAAGCTGAGAAAACAAACTCAAGCTCACATTCCCTCATTGAAGTATTGGTTCAGTCTCCAGCAGACCTCCTGGCTGGTTCTGATGACATCTCTTGGCAAACTGAATCACAGGACACCCAGGTGGAAAATTCCACACATGGAGAATGTGTTGAGTGCAATTACAGAAAAAACAATTTTTTTTTCTTTTATAAATACAAAAAAACAAAAGCAACAGGGCCAGGGGCAAGTTAAACTGCTGCTTGCAATTCATCATCCTGCATAAAAGAAAATCTTAGAATCTTCACAATTCTGTGTACTCTGCTGGAACTTGTGTTTTTACTTTATTTTTCTTGAGTCAGAACAATAACATGTTTCAGGTGTTACTTTTTAATTTATTTTTATTGTAAAGTCAGATAAACAGAGGAGAAGAGAGAAAGAGGAAGATCTTCACTCCCCAAGTGGCCTCAATGGATGAAGCTGAGCTGATCCAAAGCCAGGAGCCACGTCTGGGTCTCCCACATGGGTGCAGCATCTCAAGGCTTTCAGCCATCCTTGATTACTTTCCCAGGCCACAAGCAGGGAGTTGGATGGGAAGCTTGGTGGCTGGGACACGAACCCATATGGGATTCTGGAGCGTGCAAGCCAGGACACTAGCCCATACAGGATCTTGCAGCATGTAAGGTGAGGACTTTAGCCACTACGCTACCGCAGCCAAAGTACACTCCTGCCTCCCATGCATATGCTAGTGGTGACCTGCTTGGTATTCTACTCATTCTGAACTACAGTGAGTATTTGGGTTTAATGAAACTTTTCACACTTATTTTCCAAAAATCAGTGATTGATCAGACTTTCACATTTTTCTGCTACCCTCCAGTTCGTTATTTTCTGCTCTTTTTTTTAATGTCTATTTCCTTGAGAGAGAGCAAGTGAGCAAGCAAGCACATATTTGCTTGCACAAATGCTCCCAGAATATGGGCTGAATCATGCTGAAGGCAGGAACCAGGTATCTCCTGGGGATGGCTGGAACCCAGTTGGAGCTAGGAGCTGGAGGAGAGTACTGAACAAAGGTACTCTGGCATAGAATGTGGATGCCTTAAACACTAGGCTAACCACCCACTTCTCTGTCCTGCTTTCTATTGTTTTCCTCCCACTTACTTTGTCATATTGTTTCTATTGCTCTAGTTTTTTTAAGTTGAGAACTTACTGATTTAAAAATTTCCTCTTCTCTAATATAAATACTTAATGTTGTAAATATCCCTCTAAGCATTGCTTTCATCACATCACACGAATTTTGAGATGCATTTATCATTGTGTTTACTTTTGGCTTTTTCTTTTAAATTCAATTTCACCTTGGGATGTTTTTATGGATATATCTAAGTTCACAGACTCTTTAGTGGATATCCAGTCCACTGACGAGTCACTTAAAGGCATTTTTTCTACTACAGTGTTTTTGATTTCTGGAATTTACTCTTTCTTCAGGGCTTCTTGCAGCTTCATGCATTCTGCTGTTTTTTCATCAGAGCTCTTAGCATACTAATCACAGTCATTTTAAATCCCACTTTGACAATTCTCAAACCTCTGGGTCAGGTTCTAATGACTGCTTTGTCTCTTCAGATGAAGATTTCCCTTACCTGTTAATGTACCTTATGCTTTTTTATTGTTGTTGTTGAAAAGTCAGACAACAGTAGTGACACAGTGAGGTAAACCACTGCCTGTGATGCTGGCATGCCCTATGGGCAGCAGTTCAAGTTCTGGCTGTGCCACTTCTGATCCAACTCCCTGATAAAGTATCTGGGAAGGCAGTGGAAGAAGTTTCAAGTATTTGAGCCACTTGGGAAACCCAGATGATGTCCCAGGCAGCTGGCTTCATCTGGCTCTGCCCTGGCTATTGTAGCCATTTTAGGAGTAAATCAGTAGGTAGAATACTTTCCTGTTCTGTCTCTCTGCCTCTTCCATCTCCCTCTGTAACTCTACATTTCAAATAAAAAAAGGAATAAATCTTAAAAAAAAAAAAGATGTAAGCAAGGTAGGATATACTAAACGGGGGCTGGCAACATCCCATATGAGCACCATTGAGTTGCAGCTACTTCACATCAATACAGCTTCCCGCTATTGGCCTGGGGAAAAAGCAGAAAGCAGTCCAAATTCTTGGGCCCAGTACCATGCAGGAGACTTCAGGGGTGTTCCAGGATCCTGCCTTTATCCTGGCCCTGCCCTGGATGTTACAGCCATTTGGAGAATGAACCAAAAGAGGGAAGATCTGTCTTTCTTCCTGTTTGTTTCTCTTCCTCTCTGTAACTCTCTCAAGTAAATAAATAATTCTAAAATCTCTCAAAATACAACAACAAACAAAAGGATTTAGTAAAAGAAAAAGTAAGCAGACTTTTATTGTGAGGTTTTTAAGTTACTGTTTCCTAGGAACTGGGCCGTATTCAGCATTGGCAGAGCTGTAGACATCCTCCATGTTTTGTCTCTCTGGTCCCTGGCAACTTCTTTGAGTACTTATGCTGCTGGTGCTTCAGATGTAATCCACAATCCAGACCCTTCTGACATGACAGTTTAGGACTGGAGAAGGAAAATATAAGCAAAAAGCCCGCAGAAGGGCCCCGCCTGTAGCCTGGGAAAGCAGTTGAGAACGACTCAAAGCCTTGGGACCCTGCACCCACATGGGAGACCTGGAAGAAACTCCTGGCTTAGAAACAGATTAGTTCCAGCTGCTGCAGCCACTTGGGGAGCGTATGAGCAGACGGAACATCTTTGTCTCTCCTTCTCTCTGTAAATTTGACTTTTCAATAAAAATAATAAATAAATCTAAAAAGAAAAAAAAAAGACCTCCCATAAACTTTTTAAAGGCCTTTGTATCCTATAACCTAATTATGTTGATTATATCTTATCTGTTTCATTGGGCAAAACTTCCTTGTTGAAATGGGACCTTATGTAAAGTTTCTTAGTCTTTTCCCCACCTCTCTGTATGTGGTGGCCCGCCACTAACCTTCAGGTGGGATCAGATTGAGGACACAGCACTGCAGGCATTTTCCTAATAGTTACCTTCCCCTGCCCAAAAAGCACTGCATCTTCTATCTTCACCACGACAATCTGATAAGTCTTCTGGATATCAAGGTAGTGGGTCCACTCTAACCTGGCCCCTCAGGAATTTCAAATTCCAAGATAGTAAACACTGAGCCCCATTGTTACAGTTCAGCCATATAACTTCAATTCAAAGATAGATCTCAGAAGAATGGCTGCTTTTCATGGTTTTTGTTTTGTTTTTCTTATGAATCTCAAAGTGCCAATTTCAAAGCTCTTTACATGTCAGAGTGAGCCTCAGTTTGATTTTATGAAACAAATATGTTGTTCGCCATTCAGTTAAAAATTTACATTGCAGTACTTACTGCTTATTTTTTATAGGCAATTATGTCATTCTTTAATCTTTAGAAAAATAAAATTGGTTAATTAAAGAATGAATTCAGTCAGATTGCAATTATAAGAATCAGTAGTGCTTCTATATACTAATGATTAAAAAAGAAATCAAGAAAACAATACAATTTTTGGCAGCAAAATATGTTTGTATTTAGGAATAAATTTAACTAAGGGGATTAATTGTACAATGACAATTGTGAAACACTGATGAAAGAAATTGGAAAACACACAAGGAAAACACAGAAGAACATTATTGAAAGGTTCATACTAAGCAAAATGAGCTTACAGATCCAACGCATTTCCTACCAACATCTCTATGACGTTTTTCAGATAATAAAAAATTCACTGGACTCACAAAAAAGAAAGAGGCCTCAGACTACCTGTTTTTAAAACATGTACAAAGGGAGAGGGCAGTCTCTTTAATAAGCAATACAACAATGAAGGGAAGATTGAGTACCCTTTTGCAGAACAATAAAACTGGCCTCTTAACACCATATGCACAAACCAACTCAAAATGGGCTACAGATATGGACATAAGGCCTCAAACTATAAAACTACAGAAAAAGTGGAAGTACAAGTTTCTCCAACAGACACATTAAAGTGCTTAGATTCACTAGCCATCAAGGAAATGCAAATAAAAACTACAATGAGGTTTCACATCACCCCAATTAGAATGGTTGTCAGATCTGAAAATCAAAAACCAATTAATGTTGGCAAGGATATGGGCAGAATCCAACCCTAATTCACTGTTGGTGGTAAAGTGAACTAGAACAATCATTATGAAAGATAGTAGCTGTGGAGATTCCTTCGAAATCTACTAAATGACCCAGCTATCCCATTCTGGGAATTTACCCACACAAAATAACCAGCATACAAAAGAGTTATTTGTTTTTTTGCAGTACTATTCACAAAAGTTAAGATACAGAATCAATCCAGATGTCCAGCAACAGATGACTGGATAAAGAAAATGTATATATACACTATGGAATACTACTCAGCCATTAAAATACTATGGAATACTACTCAGCCCTGTCTTTTGCAACAAAGTGGATGCAACTGGAAACATGATGGTTGCTGAAATAAAACAGTTTCATAGAGAGAAATATCTTATGTTTTCCCTGAGTTATGGTAACTAATACAGAGAGTAGAAGAATGTAATTTACAAGAGCAAGATTGGCATTTTGAGAACTGATTATTGCTCACATTCTTTGTTTATGCTCTTAAGAAGCAGAAGATTTTTTTCTGTGTTCCACTTGTTGAATTCTTTACCCAGTGGGTTTTTCGCTTGTAACTGAGAAGTAAACTGAGTGTGCCATTGTAAAAGTTTAGGAAAAAACAAAAAAAGAAAGGATGGTGAGTGGAGAATGTGGGCAAGAAGGAAGGTAAGGGAGTAGGTATCACTATGATCCTAAATCTGTATTGTGAAACTGTTCACCTTATAAAAACAAAATATTTTAAATTAGGAAATGTTTTAAATTAGGAAAAAAGTTCGTCACAATGGTCTGGGCCCATAGTGCAGAACTTTTTTTTCTGTCAAGGGTCCTTTGGTCCACACCCAATGATCAGCTTAAAAATTGGCCTGCTATAGACTTACTGAGCTTCATGTCCCAACTGCAGTGGCCTCAGTAGGGCCAGACCAAATGATTTCACAGGCTTTACATGGCGATTGGCCAGTGCCCCTGATTTGGGCAATGATTTTGTGAGTATAACACAAAAGGCACAGGTTGAAACAAATGAGAATTCTATCAAACTAAATGCTTCTACGCAGCAAAGGAAATATCCAGCAAAGTTATTTAAAAATAAGGAAATAACCAGTAAAGATAATTCTATGGAACAGGAGAATACATACACAAATCATATATCAGATAAGGGGTTAGTATCCAAAATATACAAGAAACTCAAACAACTCAATAATTAGAAAACAAATATCCAAGTCTTTTGTGCATGGCAAAAGAATGCACAGAGAGCCTGTAGACACACACTTAAAAATGCTCAGTATCATTAATTAGCATGGATGATGCAAATTCAAACCAGCACGCACTTGTTAGAATGATTGTTAACAAAAAGATAAAAACAAGTTTGGTGAAGGTGTAGAGAAAAGCAAACCTTTGTGTACTGTTGTTGAAAATTTAAATTAGTACTGTCACTACGGAAAACAGCATGAAGCTATTCAAACAAACAACAACAAAAACACAGCTAACATATGATCCAACAATCCCATTGGTTGGTATTGATCCAACGAGAATGAAATCAGTATCAAAGGAGATATCTGCATATGCATGTTAATTGCATCATTGTGTGTAATAGTTAAGAAGCCAAATCTGCAGATGGATAAAGGAAATGTGATATGTATGTATAAATTATATTATTTGTGACAACACAGATGAACCTAGAAAACAATGCTGAGAAAAATAAGCCAAGCACACAGAGACAAACGCTGAGAGACCTTGCTTAATCTGTAGAATCTGAAAAAAGGAGAGATCAGAGAAGCAGAGGGTAGAACGATGGTTGCTAGAGAGTAATGCAGAAACATTGGTCAGAGGGCACTGAGTAATAGCTAGCGTAAGTAAGCACCTTTAGAGAAGTATGGTACAATATGGTGACTATAATTAACAATAATACATTATATGTTGAAAATTGGAGGGAAAAGTGGTCACGAGAAACTGTTTTCCCCCAAAAGTTATATTTATTAGTTGCAACAAAATTAAGACAGCTTTCAAAAAATGTTATTTTTATGTTTTAGCTTTTTTTTTTTTTTAACAGATTTACAGGCACAATTTGGAGTATAGATAACCAGAAAGATAATTTGGTTTCTTTTGGGTCTTCCACAGGAGCAGAGGCAGGGAGCTGGAAGAGAAGTTGAGCAGCCTGGATATGAACTGGCACATTAAGGCATAAGGAATCCTGGTGCATGCAAGGCAAAGACTTTAGTCACTAGGCTACTGTGCTGAGCCCAAAGGTTTATATTTTAAAAGACTAATTCTTACAGCATATGAATTAAAAATTAAAACAATGGATTGGTAGTGTGGTGTGTCAGGTAAAGCTGCCACCTGCAATGCCCACATTCTACATGGGCACCAATTTGAGTTCAGGCTACTCTACTTCCAATCCAGATTCCTGCTAATGTGCATGGGAAAATGTGGAAGACAGCTCAAGTACTTGGGTCCCTGTCGTCCATGTGAGAGACCTGGAAGAAGCTCCTGGCTTCAGCCCGGTCTACTGAGGTCATTACCGCCATCTGGAATGGATGGATGGACTCCTTCCCCTCTTTCCCTCTCTCAACAATTTTTTCAAGTAAATAAAAATCTAAACAATAATGATGGGATAATAATCAGAAAGTTACTAGAAATATCACATAAATTATATGGACAAATAAATATGAACATATACATGTGCTATGATACAGCCAAACTATGTGAAATATACTGCAGCATATGAAAGTTTAATCTTTATATTCTGACATAAAAAGTTCAAGAATGTGTCAGTTTTAAAAATCAAGTTGAAAAACCATGCATACAACATTATCATTAATATAAATACTAACATAATATCATACAACATAAATATAAATATAATAATAATATAAGCATTCATATTATAATATATACTTTCTACAATTACATTTGAGAGTATTTCAAAATGGTGATGGAAAACCAAATTGGGGCCAGCACTGTGACATAGTGAGTTAAACCCCACCTGTAACAATGGCAACTCTTGATTGCAAGTCAGGTCCCAGCTGTTCCACTTTTGATCCTGCTAGGGCCTGAGAAAGTAGTGAAGAACGGCCCAAGTGCTTCAGCCCCAATATCCATGTGGGAGACCTAGATGGTCAGGCTCCCGGCTTTGATCTGGCCCAGCCCTGGCAGTTGTGGCCATTTGGGGAGTATACCAGCAGATCTTTCTCTTTATTTCTTTCCCTCTCTCTCCACAGTGCTTTCAAATATATAAAATAAATGTCTTAAAAAAGAAATTAAAAGATAAACTAAATTTTTCTTATGAGAAACCTACTAATAGATTAACAATATGGCTGCATATTGAAAACACACAGTACATTTCAATCACATGGTCACCCTGACATGTGAAAGTGGTCGCAGTTGTCTCCTACCAGCAAGCAGTTCATCAGACTTTCTCTCTCTCTCCTGACTAATCAAACTCTTCTTAAGTTAAAAAGGACTACATATATGATGGAATATTACCCAGTTAAAAAACAGAATGAAATCTTAACAAGTGTAACAGAATGAGTAAAATTGGAGATACGATATTAAATAAATGAGGATATCCCCAAATATCATATATTCTCTTATTTGTGGAAATTAATATACTCAAAGTATAAAAATTGTGTGTATGTCACACAAAAATTAGGTATTTACAATAAACATTGCTTTAGTGAATCATACACGTAAATGACAATACACTCTTCTTTTCTCACATTATGCTGCCTTGAATCCCTCACATTGTGATGTTAATATCTTTATTTTCAAGAAAAAATAGCATCTATAAAATGTCCATGTTTGCAGTGAGTATAATAAGATGCTCTTAAAATTGTAAATTGGGGCTGGCACTGTGGTATAACACATTAAGGCATCACCTGCAAGGCTGGCATTCCATATAGTACCAGTTTGGGCCCCAGCTGCTCTGCTTCTAATTCAGATCTCTGCTAATGCACCTGAAAGAGCAGCAGAAGATGGTCCGAGTGTTTGGGCTCCTGCACCTGTGTGGGAGACCTGGAAAAAATTCCTGGATACTGGTTTGGGTGTGGCTGAGCCCAGGCCATTGTGGCTCTTAGGCAAGTGAGCCAGCAGATGAACTATCCCTCTAACTCTTTCAAATAAACAAACCAATTTTTTAAATTGAAAAATGGAAAAATTGAATACCATGCAGTTTCATTATAAGATGCATTCTCTGTGAGCATTCTGACAACTCCCTGTATGCATGAATTTCAAAATGTTGCACCAGAATAATTTATTCAGTTGTTTTTTTCCAACAGCTTTCTGAAGTATTCAGTATGCATATGCAATCTCATAAAAAACAAAAGAACAGGCTCAACCAATCAGACTCTGGGGGTGTCAGTCAAAGACACTTTTAATGATATCTGTAATGTTTTACTTCTTTGTTGTTGAAAAAAATGAATTTGTACCTAACTTATAATTCTAAATTTTAAAAATCAAGACAGAAATCACAAGGGCCTTGGCAACAGTAGCCAAAAAACCAGACAGAAGTTGTTTAAAAGATGACAAACCTGGTAGGATCCACTTCAAAGCTGACATGTTGCCAATCAGAGGATGTAATAACAATTCGTAATAAAGGATCCAGGAGTTTTTGTAGGTAGGTAGCACCATATACCTAAAAAAACCACACAAGGAGGAATGTGACACGCCTGCTTTATACATCCTGCATTAAAAGAAGACAATCTGTTCTGCACCTTCTGTGCAGGATCAGGGCTTGACATACCTCAGCAGATACAGAAAATGAATGACACAGACCTTGAAGCAGAACGTCATTATTTTGCTGGCCAAGCTGTTGCCTCGGAAGAGAGTCTGCATGGAGTCTGCCAATTCTACTTCCTTTGAAAACATGTTCCAGAGCAGTTGGTAGAGCAAATGCCGAGAGTCAAACAGAGTAACCAGAACTCTAGCTAGCTCATCCTAGAGCAAAACAAAATTGTATATGTACAATCTTACTTTTTTTCCTTAGCAAGAAGACAAACAGCATCTATGACACCAAACTAAAGGGAGAATAAGTAATATTTCCCATGGAAATGACCTGTAGACATCTGTGATAAGTGACTTTAGTATGTCTACCATTGCTGATATTTCTAAGGATTAGCTGGTGAGATAAGAGGCCTAGGCTTCAGGTGGTAACAGAAATGGCAAGGATTCAATGCAAACTGAAAGAAAATAAATTATGACAGTAAAGATTTTTACTTTTACTTCCACCTGCCCCCATGCAGAAACAAAGCTTTGGTGGTCAGAATTCTACTCTTGCCTGATAAAAGGCATGGAACTCAGTAAACTCAGCACATGAACCAGCAGAAAAACAACAAAAATGGGAAGGTCAGATTTTCAAGAAAATACCTGGGCATTCTGAACTCAGCAATCAGATTTACAGGCAAAAATTGGAGTACAGGCAACCATAAAGAGGATGCCTCCACCTGCAGGCAGTACCCACAAAGGGCAAGATCACAGCCCATTTCTTCTCTAACTCTTGCCTAGGTATCAGGATTACAATAATCTGATATTTGAGTAAAATGAAATTTTTAATAATCCTAGTCACGAAAAGTCTAGAAGTCAATGAACTATGAACATCTAATATTCTATTCTAATTCTTACAGTTACAGAAAGAATACTTAATAGATATAAAAACTCTTACCCCCATTGTAAGGTAAAACTATCAACAAGAACTGAGTTACAAAATAGAAACTATTTTTAGATTACTATGCTAAATATTTTCTCTATTCTAGTCAACTTATAGATTCTTAAAAAGTTAAGCAACTGAATTTTTAAAATTCAGAAAATTACATTAAAATAGTATAATATTATATTTGTTTTTAGATACAGCTCTAATACATACTGCCCAACCTAAAATTCCTCCCAAAATAATTTTATATAAAAATCATTATACAGTTATCACCTGTAAGAAAATAAACTTAAAGCTTCTTAGATTTCACAGATTCCTTTTTTAAATAAGAAACTGAGTCTTTAGTGCTAATTAAAGTAGGTATTAACAAGATAATTCAGAAAATTCATGTTCAAAGTGCATGAAGACCTGTGAACTAGTTTTAGGTACCAAGAGGAAGTCAGTAATTTGGGGGTGTTACTACTCAATAGTCCACATTTCAGCTACATAAGAGGACTGTTGTAGAGTGCTGCTGTGCACTTCTGTTCGTGAAGATGGCAATACTGCACTGTAGCCTAAAATCCTTGCTCTCAGGCAGATAAAACAAATGAGATATGAGATATACTTTAGGGAGCCTATCAGCAAGAGCACACTAAGACACAATCAAATCTCACATGTGAGCAACCATGTGCCTCAAGTTTGGTGAAGAAAAAGAGAAATGGCGCAAAATGTCAGAGATGAGGCCGGGCCCAGAGTGAGGACAGTCCTACTGGCCAGAGCCAAGGGTCTTGAGTTTTACTTCAAGCATGAGAAATAAAATCGGCTTTTAAGTAGAAACAAATCTGCAAAGATAGATTATCTTATCTGTTACAATTTATTGTATTGAAATCCATTCTGGTATATTACCGAATGGCTTTTTAACATACAAAAGGAAAATAATCCTTCTCAGGTTTTTAGCATATATTATTAACAATGATGTGGGTTTAGGAAATTTTTTCATTAGATTTAGAGACAGGGCAAACAGTCATCTGTCTCTAGGACTTAAAATAAATAATAGTTTTATTTGAAATGTAAATAGAATACTTAAGCCAATAAATCAATCATACAAGTTATTACAGAAAAAAAGAATTGCAAACTAAAGGCAATAAATAGATACAAAACACAAAGTTTAGTTTTAGCATTACTAAAAACTAGCTCAAATTTGGCTGAAGTGAATTACTTTATCTAATATCTATAAACAGACACGAGATTACATCCCTGGCTCTGTGTCTTTATTTTAGATCAATATTCAAGTGAAATATTTTGGGAGCTGGGATGAGATTAAAAAAACACTACAAGGGCCAACCACACCCACAGATGAAAACTACCTAACTGAACTCATGGTAATTCTTTCAGTTTTAAAATGTTATCAGTTAATGTTATCAATTAACATCTATTGATCAAATATAATCTGGAAGCATTAAGTGTGTGCCAAGCACTCTTGTTCCCCACTGACCCAGTAAACTTACCCACTGTGAACAAGGGACCACATTGGCCAGAGCCATTGCAATGGGCAGCTCTCCCTGATCACCCATCATTGTGACTAATTCCACCAGTCTCTCAAATCGATCTGCCAGCACTGTTTCTGCAAGTGTGTCAAACTCTGTGCCTTGCTGAAGGATTTTTGTCAGAACTTCCATAAATGTAGCTCTTGTCTGGAGATCCTTGTGATAACCTAAACCTGATACGGACAGATAGATAAGCATTTACACACTTGGTCTCAACTGCTTTTCTCTCCATGGATTTACATGCCTATTCTCTGTTACATTTCTCTGTGAAACTTTGATCTGATCTTACCTATGGAGTGCATGAGGCCACTGTCCACATTAGCATTGAGTAAGTTTGACATGGCGAGGACTGTACAGTGTCTCAGTGATGCCAGCCTCCGAGACATGCCACGTTTCCTGCCACCTGTTTGTGCATTTTCATCTTCAACTTCACTACAGTCATTCAAAAGGTTCATAAATAATGTGAAGTACCTGGGAAATACAAAGACTGACCCTTACACAGTACACGGCCATATCAACAAGAAAACTAAATAAACATACTAAAATCATTGCTTCTATCATGTAAACAGCACTGGGTAATCTCTCCAGTAAAGCTGATTCTATCCTGACAAAGTCCAGCACACATTTCATAACACAGGCACCAGGGAGATGCTCTACTTTCTTGTCAATCTCACTTTAGATATTTAGTAAGTGCTCCAAACAGGTCAGAAATGGCATTTTAAAAATTACTTAGTAAAGCAATTTTAGTTTCATTATAAAGAAAAATTAATCTATCACACAATTTCCTTTAAAAACTACCAGACATAGTGGTTTTCCTGTCTCATTCCTGACAAGGGGAATATTCACAAGTGTAGTTTATCAGATGCCAGCCTACAGCTGTCATAGCAAAAAGCAAGCAGGTCCATTTTCTCAATACCATTTGACAGTCCAGTTATACTTCATTCATGCGCGCGTGTGTGTGGAGGGGGAAATATGGATAGGGGGCTTTATTTGCTTTGTGCTTCGTATTTTGGTGGCTGAAATTTACTTAAGAAATAACTGTGATTTGGCTTCCATCAATTCCACACCGTCTCCTTCCTCGGGCTGCAGCGGAAGACCAGCCAGGAGTGAAACGACTGCTTCCATGCTCGCCTGGTCCAGATCTCTGAAGCGGAACAAATGCAGAGACCATAAGCCTTTCAGTCATCTACTCCACCTACCTCTACAACAAACCTCTTCCTTCTTAGCCTCAAACTTTACAATTTATGTCATTAAACAAAATACAACCAGATAATCTGAGTTTCAGGATGAAAATCAGAGTGCAAAAACATTATTAATCAGGGAGAAGATGATAAGAAGATGAAGGAATTTTGGTAAAGTGACTACTTTAAATCAAAAGAGTATACTGCTAAACTATACCTGAACAAAGACACAGATGAGTGGTTACTACATAGTCCATAGCATTTACTCACATTCTAACACTTCAGTAAGTACCAGTAAAACAAATGTAAGTAGTTACTTTTTAGAAACACTCAACAATGTTAAATTTCTCAAATAATTTATTTGTCATGTGGTTTGGGTAATACTGGAGTATCCCAAAATGCGATGTATTAAAACTTGGTCCCCAAAGCCTTAGGTTAATAAAACAACAGACCGACAACATAACATGCATAAAACCAGAACCCTGAGGTCTAATCTTGGTGGTGCTGTGAGACAGAGCACAACGACGCCGACTAGCTCCCTGCCCTGCCATGTGACCTTTTCTCACACTCCCATCACCAGGCCAACAAGGTGCTGGCTGTGAGACCATAGAGCCAAAACAAACACCCAAGAGGAGCTGCTCAGGAAGGAAGGGCATCTCCTACAGTGACTGGAGGACACCCAAAATACTATCTAATCACAAACTACCACCTACAAAGGTTTTATGGATCTTTTCTGTACTTTTCTTGGTCAGTTAACATTTAGGTTTATTTGTGTTCAACATCTTCCAGGAAAAAAAAAATAATAAGTCCAGAATATCATCTTTATCTATTTCAAACATAAAATCTTGACATCCAAAAGACAAATAAATATATCTAGCTATAGCTAGATATCAGTAGTTCTAATGCCTAAGCAAAACCTGCTGATATTTAAAAGTCATTCTTATTCTTTTTGTTTTTACCTTGTTAGACATTTTACATCATCGTCTGCTGCTTGGTTTGATGTTCCCATAACCCAGTCTGTCAGGTATTCTACCATCTTATTCCTACAGAGTGATGGAGGAAAAGAAAAAACAAAAAACAAAGCAAAACAAAAAGAACAGCAAATAATTCTTTTACAATTACACACATACACCCCTTAGTTATATAATGTTTTCTATTTTTATCTTTTCAAAATATTTATTTATTTGAAAAGCAGAAAATACGCTGATTACTCCCCAAATGCCTGCAATGTTTGGAACTTGGCCAGTCCCAAGAAGGAGCCAAGAACTTTGGTCTTGGCATACCACGTAAGGGACAGGACTCCATCACCACTGCTGCCTCTCAGAGGCTACACTGGCAGGAGCCTGGCATCAGAGGCCAGAGCAGAGACTTGAATCCATAACCTCTTGATAACCACTAAGTCAAATGTTCACCTCTAAATTTTCTTTTTTTTTTTTTTTTGAAGCAGTATTTGCCTAATCACCCAGGTGATACGATAATTTGGTGAAAGAGATCCTGCAATCAGAAATGTTAAGGAAAGAATAAACATGAGGTAACTTTGATAATGGTCCTCCACAGTGGTCCTTAGTTGCAGTATCAGTTTGGAAACAAATTCTCAGCTCCTGCATACCAGTCTGAAAGAGACCACTGCAGGAGGCATAAAGCTTGGGAAATCTGAAAAGAGATGCAAAGAAAAGCCAACAGGTACAATGCTCCTTCTCCGAGACTCCTTTCCCCCAGTAGCCAGGCACCTACCATATTTCTGTACTCCATTCAATATCAGATTTATAAAATCCCACTTTGCTCTTTCTAGATACTTACCTAAATTTCATCTCTTGACAAAATGAGAGGTCATCTCTTCTTGCCATCATGACTTCAACTAACTGACACAGCTTTGTTTTTATCTGAATTGCATGGACCATATTTCCAAGGACACGAACATATCTATGTAGATAAATATTACAGAAATAATCAGAAAAGACGAAAGAGAATGTATTCAAAATGTTCGAATCTCTAAGGAAAATCACTAACTTGTAACAATAACATCTTTGCTTAGATAAGCACAAACACAACTTCTGATTCCTTTATTATTATACCCTACTTTAGATGCAATAAAGATGGAAAATTACTCAATAGCTACCAATATTAATATGTAAGCAGTTTTTTGTTTCCTAAAATGCATTCTGCTACACCTCAGGAGAATGCTTACCTGACCAGATTTAACATCATTGTTTCAATGCTAGCTTGCCCCAGATGTTCAGAACTGCCTTCAGTATGATTATCTAGTAAGTTCTTCATTATAGCTATGGTTTGCTCTACAAATTGAGTATTGGTGTCAGTCAACAAAACCTATACAAAGAATAAAATAAATGAGTGATCTGCCATCATTGCAGCTAAGAATGACTATACAATGATGAAACTGAACCCCTAAGCATTGTAACACATAGAAACACACTTATAGGTATACAAGCAAACAAACACAAAGACAGATTCACTCACCCCACATCCAACACACGCATATTCCCAGGTACCCGCACCCACTAGGTCCTAAATAGCAAACTGATCCCTACATGACATGCTTCTTTCTGCAACTTTTGGTCTGTTTTTTAAAACTGTGAATGGATACTATCTACCTTAAATAATCAGAAAAAAAAAAGGCCTCATTATTTCAAATAACTAACTATTCATGGGGAAATGTGAAGGATAAAATAGAAAACTCTTTACCTGTCCTTGGGAATCAAAAAACTTGCTGATGGTGTTCTTCAGTTTGTTAAACAGCATTGGATAAAGAGCAGGACTTAATTCTAGACCCACTAGATCCTTAACATTGGTCCGTATTTGAAGTCCCACTTTTTCATGGTTACACACCATCAAGGAGAGCAGCCTGTCCATGAACTTGCTGACAGGAGTGTCTGCATTTCCCTCTGATGACATCACTGAAATCATGGAACCCTTTCGTTCACTAACTGGGCCCATTGGTGGGCTATAGGTTGCCAGGCCAGAATTGCTCCTCTGCTGCAGACACACTCCTCCCAGAGCACAAAGGAAGCCAGTCATGTTGATCCATTCCTGCAAGGAGTCTGTGTCAGACAAATCTATAGATCCTCCTCCACTCACATGGGACATTCGCCTCTTGACAATGGTCTTGTGAAGGCTCTCGGCAGCCTAGACAAAAATTTTGTGGACAACATGAACTCAATCTAAATTTGCTTAAAACTGACACAATTACTCTTTAATCTACATTTCCTTCATAACAAAAGTACAATTTTAATTTTAAAAAGCACAATTCAAATTTAACCACATACATTTTTAAAGAGCAACTAACACATATTCAGATAGACTAATGTAATCAACCAAAGTATCATGTTTCCTTAAAACAGCTTAATTTGGTGGGAATGTGAACTAGTACATCCACTATGGAAGACAGCACGGAGATTCCTCAGAAACCTGAAAACAGATCTAGCCTATGGCCCAGTCATTCCAGTCTTACAAATTTATCCAACGGAAACGAAATTCATATATGACTTAGTTATCAATACCCCCATGTTAACAGCAGCTCAACTCACAATAACTAAGATATACCATCAACTGATGCCTGGAAAAAGTTAATTATTATATATATATGTATTATACATATATAGATATAGATATGGTAGATTACTACTCACTTGCAAAAAAACAATGAAATTTCGTTTTTGACAAAAAATAAATAAATAAAAAGGGATGCAACTGGAGAACATTATGCTTAAGGAATAAGCTAGTACCAAAAAGACAAATACCATGTTTTCCTGGTTTGTGGGAATTAATACAAAGTACAAAAACAAATGTAATGTATATGAGTAAACCTGACAATGGGAGTTTTGATGATTATTTATAACTTTTGTTTAGATCATCGAGGCACAGTGGTTTTTCTACTTACTCCTTGCTGGATTCTTTGATTAGTACAGAGTTAAACTGACTATAAAGTAAACTGTAAATATGTCATTGCAAAATTAAAAGAAAGAAGGAAGGAAAAAGGAGAGACGGTGGGAAGTATCACATTCTTAAAACTATATAGATGAAATTTGTTCACATGGATGAAACGTTCTTGTTCACATGGATGAAAGTTGAAAATATACTAAGTCAAGTAAGCCAGTCACAAAAGCTCATATACTCTGTGACATTTATAGGAAATGTCAAGAACAGGCATATCTACAGAAACCGTGCCTGGTGGTAAGTAATGGAAAGGCAGCACAGTAGGTGGTTGGAACAGAGATAGCTAAAGAATATGAGGTTTTTATTTTTTATCAGTTTAGTTTTATTTAAAGTTATGACAGTGTTCTAACACGGATTATGGCAATGGTCATGTAACTGTCAAAAAACACTAAAATAGTCAAAGAAGTGAACACTTTAAGCAGGTGAAGCATATGAACAAATATAGATGAATAAATATTAATTAAACAGTTACCAACAAAATGCTTTCGTTCTAAAGTTACAGGTCTTCTCCAACACTAGATACACAATTTTGCTTCACAAAAACATAACTTCCTCCATGTTGTTATTAAGCATGACAGGAAAAAGACAATGGGAGAATAACCAGTTTTTCCAAAATACCTAATAATGAGAACATGAACATTACAGATAAAATACACACAACTACCGATTAGCTATTTTTGGGGTGACAGATTGATAACAACCAATGAACGAAATAACTGACAACTGATGAAAGAAATGTCTACATTATAAAATTTCATTTAACCCTATCCCGGCCCCCTTAAATTTTCTTTAGGATCCCATCATTAGAACACAGAACAAAATAATAAAATGAATGATTTCTTCTGTCACTCCTTTTCTGACAATCTTGTAGAAGGTAGAAAGAGCAAGAAAAGAGGGTAGATAAATGGTCTTCGTGAAAGTGGTAACTTTTCCATCCCTACTGTTCCCAGCAACAACTACCACATGTGGCTACAGAGTATTAAATTGTGGCCATGATACACTGAGGACCTAAATATAATTTCATTTAATTTTAATTGATTTAAACAGTTTAAACATCAACATGTAGTTACTGGTTACTATATTAGTAAGTACAAGCCTAGATGAAGTCTAGAGTGACTTAAAAAGATTACACACAGTATTTATTATCTACCTAATCAAGTAAGACAAAAATTAACGTCATAAACTCACCTGGCCATCTTCCATTTTGGTTTTTGGATAGTTAAGAATTAATTTTGTAGCTTGCTCCCATTTCGCATGTGTATCTTCCCAAGCCTAAATGAAGGTAAGGATTAATTTTGTAACTTGCTCTCATTTTACATGTATATCTTCCTAAGTCTAAAATGAAGGCCACTATCACTTCAAAGCAACTTTAAGCAAAGAGCTAAAAATTAATCAACTGCCAGTTTTGAGGCTTGATGCCTACTGCATATCCTGAGTCTGCTTCCAAAGCTATTCCTGAAGACAGTCATGGAATAGGGGGCTTGTTTGTGTTGCTGCGGGCCTACCTCTGTGTTCCCTGCAGTGGGATGCTCGATACGCCTCAGAAGTGCCATCACTCTTTTCTGAAGTGCTGCTCTTCCTAAACAGGGACAAGAGCAAATCAAGTGACTCCTCTGCTTGCCCTGGAGAACCTGACTGGCCCCACCCAAAAAGCAGTGGAGGAAGAATGAGTGAATGCCTCAAACCAGATAGCTGAAAAATTCATTTCTCCAGCCTTATAGCACAAGTGTTTCCATATGCGGGACTCCAAATGTCTCCAATATAAAATAGCTATTGCCATTTATAATTTACAATATATACCAGTGTGCTTAAAACTATATAATTCAGACAGAGTACATGGTATAGTCTATAACTGACAGTGATTTACATTGCTAGTTACTCAGCAATTATATGGCATAGTAGTCACACTAAAAACCTGGTTGAAATGAAGAATTTCAAATACTACTGATTTTTTTGAACCTGCCCTGTTCAAAAAAAGGGTACCAATTAAGTTATTTAAATTGTCCCACACATTCACAAGTTATTCCTTTAATGGCTAAAGCAATCAGATATCATGTGATTTGAGACCACTTGACAACAGAAAAAAAACCCCAATATTCCGCATTTACCTGTTGACATCATATTGCTGACAGAGGCGAATTCCATGAATGTGTTGTAGTTGGGCAAGAAGTTGTGCACTGACACTTCATCCACCCCACACCGGATATCTGCTTCCTCACAAAGGTGGCGGAAACAGGACATGGCAACCAGAACAGCTTCAGTATCTGGGCTCCAAAGAAACATGTATAGAGCCACTTCCAACTTAGTCTGGGCTTGTCGGCATATTGGTGGGGTGCTAGTGCACCCGGCAGCACTATCCTGAGAATCAGGGGTGGGAGGCACATATTCGCAATTTAGGTGATTTTATTTACAAAACCCAAACATTCAATAAACTATGTACCATATATAAATATTCAACAAGTCACAAAAATTTTCCTCTTTTATTAGCATGGCAACTAACTAGATATCTTGTCTAAATAATTTTTTTTCTTAAATAAATAGATTTATTTGAAAGGTAGAGGACAGCAGGAAAGCTTCCATATACTGGTTCACGCTCCAGATGTTTGCAACAGTTGGGGCCAAAAGCAGAAACCAAGAATGAAATCCAATCCTATTGAGTCATCACACTATCTTGCAGAGTCTGCATCAGCAGAAATCTAGAGTCAAGAGTGAAAGCCAGGAATGAACCCAGGCACTCTCATGTAGATGTCTTACCTCTTAGGCTAAACATTCTGCCCTAGATGAGATTATTTTGGAACATATACAAATATCTACCCAATTTCAAATAAATGGGTATCATACCATTCTAGATCCCAGAGTCTAAATTAAGTTTAACAGAAACACAAGAAAAACATTCAAGCATAAAAATGCAGGAAAATATGTAATTTACTTCCTAGTAGAGTATGAAAGACAAAGAGGAAGTAACTGGAAATTCTATCTACTTGCAAAAGGAGGACATAAAATAAGTACACTGCAGCACTGATAAAAGTAAGGGCATGGAGAAGAGCTAGGTATTGCAGCAAAAGAAGATATAGAAGATTATTAATTAAATATGCCCTAAACATAAAATAAATGCTCAAAAAATGCATATTCTGCAGGTAAAGCAATAAACAAGAAAATGCCACACTGCTGAACTTTCTCAACAGAAGGTTATATTTAAAATTAGATTAAAAAATGTAAAAAAAAAAAAAGAAAGAAAAAAACCTTCAGTGTAGAAAAAAAGTCCTTGGCAACGCAATGATTTGATATTTTCACTTGTAATATGGTTTATATTTAAGAGGAATTCTATACAAAAAAAAAAAGCACAATCTACAACAGGAAGCAGAATTTTATCCCAGAAAATTTAAACCTTTGTTAGCTGTCACAACTTTCAAACTTCTGCAGTGGGAATGGTCTTCCTTTTAGGATGTGGGTTTATAACAAACATAGTTAACCAGCTTGGAGTCTTAAGTGTTGAATAATCATGGGCTGTTTACACATGACCTCACTGAATCCTCACAACCACTTTGGGGGAGGAGATTATTGTCATTCTTATTTTAAGAATGAAAAAGAGGCACAATGATGTTAAGAGCTTGCCTAAGGTTTTTTAAAGAACAGTTGATAGAACAACAATGGAAGCAGCCATTAGTGACTACACTGTATTATCTAGCTGACATTTACTAAAGCTCATTCAGGGAAACAAAACCACCCCAGAAAATGACACAGGAAAACTACCAAGGGTACTGCTTACCACAAAGGAGTTCCCTCGCCCCTTCCGCAGAGAGGTTCCTGGAGTACAGGACCGTAGTAACTCTTCATGATCCATGGACAGCTGGCTGGGATTCCCACTAGAAGGAACATCGCATCCTACCCCATACAGGAAAAGAAAGTGACAGGAACTTCTATCTGCCTGCTAAAAAACAAAAACAAACAAACAAAAAAAAAAAAAGAAAAGAAAGAAAAAGGAAAAAGAAAAAAAGAAGAAAAACAAAAGGAAGAACGAAAAGGGCGAGCTCTACCAAAGCACTGACAACCCAGAGGAGAAACAATCCATATGAGTTGTCTTCTGTCTGAGACCATCCAGAAAAACCTCTGTGCTAGATCCCTGTGCCCCACATGGAGGAAAATTCACTAGGACAAACAATGTTCACTCAATGTCTTGGAACCTTCCCTCAGTTAACCATTCTGCAAATCCTAAGAACAGATTCTAAATTAGGTCTAAGAGGAACACAAACACTGACAAAGTAAATCTACTATATGAAAATTCTAATGCAACCTCAGTCAATAATAAGTAATATGTATTTTATTCGTAGAGATGATACTCTGTGCCAAACTAGGATTGTTCAAAGTTGATTCTTTTATGAGTAAGTTCTGGATCAGTAACTAACATTGGCATTGATATCAAGTGTATTCCAAGAAGTGCTTATGTTCTGGAGACTATACAGCTGGCCAGTTGAGGACTGGTGCAGAGGCAAAGCAAGCTAAATCCTCTACCTGCAGCACTGGTACCCAATATGAGCAATGGTTTGTGTCCTCGCCTGTTTCACTTTTGATCCAGTTCCCTTCTAATAACCTGGGAAAGCAGAAGATGATCCAAGATGGCCCCTGTACCTATGTGGGAGACCTGGAAGAAGCTCTTGGTTCCCAGATTTGGACTGGCCTAGTTCTGGCTGTAGAAGCCATTTGGAGAGTGAACCAGCAGATGGAAGAATCTCTCTACTGTAATTTTGACATTCAAGTAAAACAAAGAAATCACCTAAGAAGAACTGTCTGGGCATGAAACTCTCAAGTTGAATCTCCTTCATCTTTCCAATCATGCGAAATCCCACTATACTATGACCTACCAAGAAAATCCAGAAATCCCACCTGCGCATTAACGCATTTATATTTATAAACAGAAAATTTAGCAACCTGCATGATACTGGCAAGTAAATGAGTTTGACACACTTAAGATTTCATACCTATGACTCTAGGACTGCATAATAACTCATTAAGCCAAGTATTCCTAAAATCATACCACAATACAAGAAATTTTAACCTAATTAGTTATAGAAACAATATGTCAAAAGAAATTTAATTTTTTTCTATTTCCCACAATTTTACCATGCCTCAACACTTTAGAATAATAATAATAATAATAATAATAATAATAATAATAATAAAAACCACTCCATACCAAAAGGGATGACTCTTAATATTTCTAAAAGGTAAAATCTTCAGGGAAGGGATATAAATCAGGCTAGGGGAATGGAGACTTTCCAATTCTTCTCTTCAGCTTCTTGATAATTAACATTCTTTGGGCTAACTTTGTAAACTTGTGAGTAAAGATGGAATATATCCCTCAACCTACTTTGCTGTTGGCAGTCTTCATCCTTGCCAGGCCTGGTTCTTAGGCTTCTGCTACACTCAAATAGAATTTACCAAGATTGTGGTTTTTAAGGCCAACGTCTCAGAAATTTTTTTAAATACTGATTTAAATACTGGCAACTATTGTCTTCTGTACATATATGACGGTACTTACAGAGATTTTTTTGAAAATTAAGTTACAAAGCTTATTTTGGTGCACAGTATTTTTAATCCATGTGCGTAAGATTTCAGCAAGTTGATGAAAGATGTATGCTGTACACAGATTTCAAAAAAATTAAGATTGCTTTAATTGAAAGAGTTACAGAGACAGAAGGAGAGACAGAGAAAGGTCAGCCATCCACTGACTGGCTCCCCAAGTGGCCACAACATCTGGGGTGGAGCCAAACTGAAGCCAGAAGCCAGGAGCTTCTTCCAGGTCTCCCACATTGGAGCAGGAGTCCAAGCATTTGGGCCATCCTCCACTGCTTTCCCACGTCCAAGAGCAGGGAGCTGGATGGAAGTGCAGCAACCAGCACTCGAATCAGCACCCATAGCAGTACTGCAGGCAGTAGCTTAACCTGAATACCATAACAATTACCCCCAATTTCAAAAATGTTTTGCACCAAAATAAACTTACATTTTAGTTCAATTTTTTAAAGAGCTTTTGACTCATCTTCATATATCCTTTTTAAGAGGGAAGAACTGCAAAAAAATCTAATTTGCCTAATAAACATCTTCATCTTTCTCAAACCATTCCAAATTTTCTTCCATTTTGCTTACCTTGTTTTTAAGCAGAAATTTATTCCTGCATATCAGAATTTCCCGCAACCACTTGAGAATCTCTGTGCTACTAAGCATCTGATGGCTAGTTAATTTCTTGCAGATATAAAAAAGCATCTGTGAGCTGTAGTAACATAAAATTTTACTATTATTATCAACATCAATAATCTTACATATAAAAGCAGCCTTCTCTCATAGGTTTGCTTTCAAATAAGCTATTAAAGCATTAAAAGTACCATAAATCAAAAGAAATAAGCCTATAATTTACACTTAAGAAGCAACTTCTTATAAGGCCTCTACTCCCCACAAGCTCCCTGTGTTTCATGTAGATACCACTCTCATAATGGACAAAAGAACTAATGAGCATGTACTCAGTGAAGGTGGCATGTAATCTAGTGTTCTGAAGCAAAAAAAAAAAAAAACAAACAGTGAACAACCACTTATAGGCCAATTACAGTCCCTGTATTTCCTTTGGAAAGTAAAGTTTTAGTGGAACACAGTGTCATCAATCTGCATATTGCCCATGGCTACTTTTGTATTTCAAAAGCAGAACCATATGATAAAATGTGCATGATTGGCTCTTCAGAAGACTGATTTGCTGTTTGCTGATTCCTACTCTAGAGTTGAACTGCCACCATAAAAGCCATGAGCCAGGAGCCATAGCTACTGAGGATTTTAAATATTATAAGTTATACATGTAACAAACATATCTACTCATGAAGACTGTATGAAAACAGAATACACCTCAAGTGTAGGTAACTGCATAGGTTGCCTTTTACCTAAGCAAGCGTTACACTGCTGGTAGAAAAACAGTCAATAACTGGTGGGTACTCTGGGTCTGGCGAAAGCCAAATTTGTGTTAATTATAGAAGTGTGCCAGCATAGTTTTCTATTCTCCTTTTTTTAAAGATATGTGAAGAAGGCAGGGAATACTGGGCCAGGATGTGCCACCAGGGCCCCAGGCAGGGAGGCAGTAGATTACCCAAGGCAGGGGATCTGGAGACATATTGAAGTAGGAACAACTGAGGGAATATTTGACAGGAGGAATGCCTTCTGGGATCTTCCATGGACTGGGTCACTGCACTCACAGGTAAATAAGGTGACCTGACACAGAATGATTTAGAGGAGGGAAACCAGATGGTATGTCTGGGTCAGGCCAAGGCACCCATCTGCATGGGAGACCTGGGCTAGACTAAACAGCACTGTCCACTGCCAAATGGCACATGGAAAAGCTGGGGCTCGGGGTATGTTTGGTTGGGCTAGGCCATAGTACCCACCCATGAGTGTCGGAGCATGGGGTGGGCCATATGACGCTATGCTGTAGTACCACCAAAACGTGAGAGAATCAGACCTGGGAGCAGATTCTATAGGGGACTTGTGGGCTTGCCTCTTTGAGTCTATTGTATCCATTGATTTGCATGGAGAGCTAGGGGTGCTGATAGGCTGAGCCAGGCTGGACCACAGAATTCACTTGAAATGGGAGCTGGGGTTGGAGGGTGCTGAGTTGGGTCAGGCTATAGACCCTACAGGCATGTGCAAAGACCAGAACTGTGGGCAGACCATGTCAAGCAGGGCTGTGACACCAACCAGCAAGCGTGAGATTCAGCACTGGGAGCAGCCCTGGTAGGGGAATTGGGGAAACTCCCCTGCTAGGCTGCAACTCTCACTGGTGAATGAGAAAGCTGGAGCTGGAGGCAGGCCAGGTAAGGCTAGGCTGCACCACCCATCATTGGCATAGGTGTGAGCCAGGTCTTTGGGCAAGGTCATCTGGGCCAATCCACAACTTATACTGGAAAGACTAAGAGCTAGGATAAGGTGCAGGCCAGGCTGGGCTCGACCACATTACCCATCATCAGTTCATGTAAGGGCTGGGGTGGACCTGTCTGGAAGAGGCTACTGCACTCACCATAAGAGCTGGGCCTGGGAGCAGGCTGGGCTGAACCAAGCTATAGCAACCACTGGAGAATTCCAAGACTGGGGGTGGACTATCTCAGACTGGACTGTAGCATCCACTGGCATGCAGAAGACCTGGGGCTGGAGACTCCCTTGCTGGGCCAAGGCTTCCAGTGCTAGAATTAAGAACTGGGACTGGAAGTGGGCCAGGTTAAGCTAGACTGATAAACTCACTGGCAAGTGCTAGTGCTGGATGCAAGTCATATTAAGCTGCAGTACAGTACCCATTGGCAGGTGAAAGAAGTAAGACTGGGACTAGGCCTGGTAGGGGAAATATGGGCACTCACTCCATGTTGGGCTGCTGCTCCCACTGGTAAGCATGTCAGCCAGGGCTAAAACAGGCCAAGCTGGTCAAGGTAGCAGCACCCATTAGTGTATGTGTGAATTGGGTCTAGGGACGGGGCAAGCTAAGCTAAGCTGTACTACCGATAGGTATGTACAAGAGAAAGAAAACATGCGGACTGGACCACACTAGACTGCAGCACATGCCAACATACCTAAAAACTGTGGTTGGGGGTTAGGCCTGGTGGAGGTAATTAGGCGTTGCCCTGACTAGACCACCGTACCTACTTGTGTGCATAAAGATTGGGCCTGAGGTGACTGCACTGGGCTAGATCAGGCCGTAGCACCCATCCGCTTGTGTGAGTGATGGGCTGGGAGCAGAATTGACCAGGCAGCTGTATTCACTAGTATGTGCACTGGCTGGTAGAGGTGACCTAACTGACCCTACAATGGCTGCTACACACCAGAGTCAACTTTGACATCACCCTAGGTGAGGTTTCTTGAGGGATTTCCCAACTACATGGCTGGACTCAAATCCAGCCACAAGAAAAATCACAATATATATTAATGTACAACCTTGGAGTGCATGTGCTGGAACTGAGCCTCCTCAATTGCTGATGCCTGTGCTGATGCCCGTGCAGTGGACAACATGCCCAGATGCACACGGGGGACATGACAACCTGCTCATTTAGGTCATTGGAGGACACTGAGTGCCCCATCAGAGAATGGAAAGCAAAAGAGGTTGGCCCATTCTCTTGATTAAGCTTTGCAAGTGTTCCTGGGTCTGTAGATGCACTAAGCTGGACTTGGCAGCCAATAGACCTTGGAAAGTTTTCTCAGCCCTGGTGCAATGAAGCTGATGACATCTAAGAATTATAAATACACTCAAGTAACACCCTCAGAGCACTCTTCTCCACATCAGGGTCTCTAAGGCATCATCAAATGACTCTCTCCACATCCCTGGGTGCTGATGTAGTTTGTAGTGGCCCCCTCCCATTCCATGCCTTGTGAATCCAGGAGAAAAAAAATTGAAACATTTGTCCCATCTACTTTCCCCCATACTTTGATCCTCCATACCCTAATCAGAGAACCACAAGGGGTGCACCACTCATCAACCATATGAACAATATTAAAAATAAAATTTAAAAAAGAAAAACAAAAGATAAATGTAAACAAACTACACTCTATTTAGAAGGAAAAAGTCTGGTTAGTTATAAAACACAAACTTGAAATTTAAGGTTGCAAAAAGACATTGTCAATGATAAATAAAATTACCTACTGGACAAATATTAAACACAGAAAAACTAGAGCTGACTAAAGCAGAAAATCCTAAAGCTAAAAGACAACTAGAATATTAAAAATAAAATTTTAAAAAATGTAAAAAATCCTCTTGATTTTTTGTATCAATTACATGGTTAAACTGTATTCTAGATGCACATGAATGTGTACACACATATACACTGGTTACATAAAATTTATATTATAAAAATTAATTTTACCTGTTCCTTTCTCCTTTCTAAAATTTTCTATCTTTCAAGATTTATTTATCTGAAAAGCAGAATTACAAAGAAATGGTCATAGCAGCTGGCCTGGCCAAAGATAGGAGCTAGGAGCTTCATCCAGGTCTCCCGCGTGAGTGGCAGGAGCCCAAGCGTCTGGGTGAGCTGCTGCTTTTCCAGGTGCATGAGCAGGGAGGTGGACTAGAAGTGGAGCATCTAGAAATGAATCAGCTCACTGGGACACTTAACTCTCTGTGCCACAACACTTACTTTCTTTGTAACTTTTCAATGTTCTAACTACAAATCATTAAGTTACATATGTGATTTTTGTTATTATTATCAAACAGTACTGCCCTGGGAACAATGTTTAATTCAGCTGCCAAGTGATTCAGGGCACTCATTGGCATGATAACAGCAAAAACTTTAGGTTACATGTTTACATTTTTCTCAGCATAGGGTACTTTTGTGTATTGAAAGGTAATTTATGTAACTCAGAAAACAGAATATAAAATGCTGTGTATATTTTTGCCTTCTAAAGCAGATGTACACTACGAAATCATTCATCAAAAGTAATGGTATTATAGAAACTTTATGAAAGATAACAGCTTAAATGCTGAAAATACAATATTATAAAAGTTTAATATTCTAGGCTTAAAATTCTAAAAACGATGAAACACAAAGTTCTAAGTATGTAGAAGTCTGAATTAGAATTATGTATGATAGAACTAGTAGTTAAAGTCCAAAAAAAAAGAGGGCAACTTTAAGTTGAATCAAAAATAAAAGGTACACATACCTGATCTCCCAGAAGGTTTCTACAGGAGCATCGGGATTCCACAAATCAATGCTATCTAACTGATGAAGAACCAGCAGGGCCTGGGGTGAAAGGGAGGGACAGAGAAGATTCACTCGAAATAGTTTTGATAAATATGAGTAGTGCTTTATAATGTTAACCAAATGAGCTATTTAACTGTTACTCAATCTGCAGTAAATGACAATGCAAGAAAACAGTGGAGAACATAAATCTTCAGGGAGTATTTTATGCAGAATAAAATCAGTTTATTGGGACCAGTCTCATTCTAAACGGCAGATATACTGAGACTTCTAAACAACACATACATATAAAAACTATTTTGAGAGAGAAGCACACTAATTTCAAGAAATATTTTTAAAATTCTACATATAGAGCAAAAAGTTAACTCCCACAAAGGAATTTTTGCCAAAATTAATATACATTATGAAATTAACTCATGCAGTAAAAAGTTAAAGCAAGTATCTTGCTTGCCACAGATTTCTTTTAAGAGAAAAGATGGCTAGATGCCAGAAGCCAGGAACTCCATCCAGGTTTTCCAAATGGATGGCAGGGAACAACTACTTGACCCATCATCTGTTGCTGTCCAGAACGTGCAGTAGCAATAAGCTGAACTGGAAGTGGAGGCAGGAACTGATTCCAGGCCCTCTAATGGGAGACACAAGTATTCCAAGCAGCAGCATAAACTGCTGTATTACAATGCCCTCCCCAGCAAGGCAATCAGCAGGAGCTATACTAGTAATACCTAATTAGCAGGGAATGATAATATGTAGTATTGTTACTTGATGTTTCACAAATCTTTTCACTATGGGTTTCTAGCATAATTCCATCATATTCAACAAAAAAGCAATTTTTTCAGTCCTTTAGGAATTGTTAAATCTTGCTTCATGCTCAGATGGCAGCAAATACAATTGGTGTACTTTGAAACAAAGTTCCATGTGTACCTGAATGTGGTACACCATATATGCCAAATAGGCCAAACTTGGTAATCAGGTTGTCCAAACCTTCCACTCCTTATTTTCTCTCGCTTGCTTTTGAGTTCTATTAGATTTTGAGAAAGGTACATTGAAGTATTTCTCTGTAATCAAATTTTGTATATAGCTCCTTCAACTCCATACATTTTTACATAGTATTGTTTTATTTATTCTGGACCTTTGTTCAATAGCTTCATCTAGAGTTTTTTTTTTTTTTTTTCCTAAATGGACAGGATCCCTTGGTGGCAAGATATTCTCTTCACTACCAGTAAGGCTTCTTGCTTTAATCTCTATATTTACACATTATTATCAGCCTTCCCAGGTTAGTATTTGTATGGCATATTTTTCTCTCCTTGCACTATTTCATTTCTAATGGTCTTAAATTTAAGCACCTATACATAGCACACATTAAGATTCTTCCATTCCTAAGTATTAACTGAAAAGAGATAAAAGCATATGTCCATACAGATATTTGTATATAAACATTCCTAGCAGCTTATTTGCAAAGACCACAAATTGTAAACAACATATATACAACAAGTTAATAGGCATACAAACTGTGCAACAGTAATACAAAGGAACAGTACACAGAATTAACTGGAAAACATTTTAATAATTTATTTTAATATGCATGAGATACTGACATATAGCAACACATAGGATGGTGTTAATTATGCTTTGCTAAAGATAAAAAGCACATGTACTTTGATTTCATTTCAATCAAATGTGGACTAATTTTTAGTAACAAAACAAATGAGTGGTTAAAAAGGAGGCGAGAAGGAAGCAGGGAGTGCGGAGAGGGAGGAACTATACAGACTACAAACTAACTTGCAGCAGTGATGGATGTGTTCCACTAAGTGTCTGCCCATAAACATGGGAATAAACTAAAGTACAATCCTTAACAGAATTCTTACTGCTATGGCTTCTGAACTCAAGCAGACATTTATTGAACCTCCAAAGTCGTAAGCTGATGTTACTCCAATAACAGCACCTGGGGGATGCGTTTCCTGGAGGTCTTTAGGTCATGAGGAGTGCACCAGGCATCCTTCCTGGAGGCAGCTGTGGTTGTGTGACCTGAGGGAGGCCCACCTTTGTTCTCTGCTTTCTGTCTTGCTCACAGGATTGTTCCTCCAAACTCACTCTGCCATTGCCATTTGCCACCCTCACTTCACACCAAACCAACAGGGCTCTCCATTTTGGAACTTAACCTTCTAGAAACATACCTAAATCAAATTTTTCCCTTACAGGTAAGCCACCTCTGATATGAATATTTCATTACAATAATGTGAACATAATATATTTAACAACAACAGAAGAAGGAACAAACTCATAAAACAAGAATGAAATTCAAAACCTTGGTGGATCAAAGAAGTTTAACAAATAAAAATACATTTTCTGAGAGCAACTGATAGGAATTCTAGACTTGCAAATTAGCTGAGTAACAGAGTTCAGAGCAGTGGTTTTCTGGGGCAGGGAGTGGCGTTATTAACAACAAAAAGAAACACAGGAACTTTCTACAATGATTAAACTTTTCTAAACTTCCTCTGACTTTTTCATATGAAAATTACACCTCAATAAAATTCATTTAAATTAAGACATTTAGCAAGTAATACAACGTTTTTACGGCAGATGTATCGCAATTACTAGGATGGCTATAATTTAAAAAAAAAGAAACTAACAAGTGCTGGCAAAAATCCCAAAACACTAGAATCTTTATACAATACTACTGGGAATATAAAATGGTGCAGTTATTTCAGAAAAAAGTATAGCAGTTCCTCACAAGTTCAACAGTTATCATGTCTCCCACAAATTCTACTGCTAGGCATATAGCCCTAAGAGATACATTCACATTAAAATCAGTAAGACAGATGTTCAGAATATGTGAAAAGTGAAAATTACTCCCAAACCCCCACAACTAATGATGAACAGAAAAATTCCCATGTGGGCACCAGTTCGAGACCCTGCTGATCTACTTCCAGTCTAGTCCCCTGCTAATGCCGCTGGGAAAGCAGCAGAAGGAGACTCAAGTATGTGGGCCCCCAGGTGAGAGACCCAGATTAAGCTGCTGATTTCTGGCTTCTGGACCAGCCATGGCCATTGTGGCCATTTGGGAAGTGAATCAGAAGATGAAAAATACTCTCTCTGCCTCTGTTATTATGCCTTTCAAAAAAAACCAAATCAAGTCAGTAGGCAATGATAGCTTAGGTAACTGGGTACCTACTACACATGAGACCTGGATTGAGTTTTTAGTTCCAGGTTCCTGTTGCAACACAGCCATTTCAGGCATGCAAAGAATATGCCAGTGAATGAGGGATTCTCTGTTTCTCAAACAAAGAGCAAACTGGTGAATGTTTATGGTATGTGAATTATGTCTAAATTAAAAAATTAATCCATATCTAAAAACTCAACTGCAATTAGAAAATTTTTAACTTTTAATTTACACAATGTCGTTGCCACTTAGATATAAAATAAATGCCTTCTTTCTCTATGCAGTTACACAGAACATAAAGTCAGAGACACCTAATTTTATGAAATGGCATCTGTGACAAAAGCCACATTTCAAGGGACCAGAGCTGTCTCCCCCTTACCTCCATCGCTTCCTGAGCAATCTCTGGCATGTGGGACTGAGGGACCAATTGTACCAGGCCTGTGATCAATTCTGCTGTACTGCCTTGGGTTTCTGGCCCTTGTTTTCTTGGATTCTGGATGGGAAAAAAAAAAACAACAAACTTCAATTTCAACTTCAGAACTCAACTGACCAGAATTAACAGTTACAAATGAGTATAAGATTTCCTTTAGACCAATCCAGATGCCATATACTGAAGACTGAATAAAGACAATGTGGTACATACGCATTATGGAGTATTACTTAGCCATAAAAAATGAAATCTTACCTCTTGCAACAAAATGGATCCAGCTGGAAACCAATACACTTAATTAAATAAGCCAATTTTCAAAAGACAAATATATGTTCTCTCTGATTTGTGATAACTTGTACATATAGCAAAAATCAGTGCTGCAAGTGAGCTGAGCATCCTGGGAACTGACTGATGTTTACAGCCCATACCTGTAACTCATGCATAATAGTAGGATTTTCAAATTTTTTCCTTTTCCTTTTTCCTATATATATTTTGGAATATTAAGCTTGTTACTATGAAGTGAAAGAACATACCACTATAATAATTTCAGGGGAAGGATTAGAAGGGCGGGGGGTGGGGTGGGAGGAAGGAGCCCTTATGCATCTAAATCTGCATCATGAAAATGTGCAATCTGCTCATTCTATATGAGTAAAAAATAAAAGATATACTTTAGGAGTGACAAAAAATGTTTCATAATTAACAGTGGTGATGGACGCAGAATCTAGCAAATATACTAAAACCCACTGGATTTTACATTTTAAACTAGCTAATTTTATGAAATGTGAATTACATAAAAAGTATAAAAAACGAGACATTTTTAAAAATCAAAACCTTGTTGGTTAAGGATTTTTTTCGTCTATAACTATATGTGTTCATTAATATGAATGATAAATATCCAAGAGGAATCTTAGTTAAAACAGAAACGAGGTATGAGCTTTCTGCCTAATAAATATCAATCACATGAGGGTAGTACCTCTGGTTTAGATTTTACTAGTTTTTAACAAAGAAATGATTATGAACAAAGGCAAAGAATACATGTTAGATAAGAACTGCTTGATTATGCCACGTAGTTTATCCAGTACCAAGATCTACATAGTTGATGTCAACGGGAGGGTGAGAATCTACACCCCAGATCTACACTACAGTCTTTCTTGTGGTTAAAAAAAAATACATGTATTAAGCAAAGAAAATTATCAGTACATACAAATTTGAATATTCATCTACTTAGACTTAACACGCTTCTCCTAACCTGAAAGCATCTCCTTTGACTTCAGAAATATCTGGCTCATGCGAAATTGATGCAACTTGAGGCTCTACTTTTCTCTGCTAACTGCAGATTCTTCTCCATTTTAATGACCAGGTTCACCCCAGTATGTCTGTAATTCAAAATATTTAGCCTATTTTCAGCCACAGTCATCGCATGAAGAAAGTAAAAGTCAGTAAAATCATCAGACAGGTCTAACACTTAATAGATGATATGAGCTGGAAAAGTGCATGCTCCTGTGACAGCATATAACTGTGGCTTTCTTGGAGCAGGGTAACAGATTGGAGTATGAAGCCACTACCCAGGGAAGAGGAGAGGGAGATTCTAGGCAGAGGGAAACACTAGTACAAAGGCAAGGATGCTAAGGCACTGAAAGAAAGGCCCTCATGTCTAGAATAGGTTAAGACAATGAAAAATGTAGCACTGGAGGTTGAAAAACGGCCGAAGAGAAGCTCATTTTCATCTATTTGGAGTTTGATTTTTATCCCCAAAGCAATTTAAACCTAAAGATTTTTTTTAAATATTTACTTTTTTTTTTTAATTTGAAAGGCTGAGTTACAGAAGGAAGGAAGAGGAGAGGATGGGAAGGAGAAGAGAGGGAGAAAAGACAAAAGGGGGAGGGGAGAGATTCACTCCCTAAATGCCTGCAGCAGCTGAAGCTGAACTGATCCAGGAGTCAGGAGCTTCTTCTGGGTCTCCCATGTAAGTGCAGGGGCCCAGGACTTGAGCCATACTCCGCTGCTATCCTGGGCTATAAGCAGGCTGTTGGAATGGAAATGGAGCAGCTGGAACTCTAACCAGCAATCATATGGCATACTGACACCTCAGGCAGAGGCTTAGCCTGCCTACTATGTAATGGCATCAGCCCCAAGCTAATAGATTTTAAAATGGGAAGGGGACACAAAAACATGTGGTTTTCAAAGAGATCGCCATGATTAGGAGAATATAAGAAATGATGCCTGCTGCAACACATCTTCTACCAGAGTGCCTGGTTTCAAGTTCTGACTCTGCTTCCCAAAGCTTCCTGCTAAAGTACACCCTGAAAGGCAGCAGGCTGCTCTCCATGGGAGACCTGAATTGAGTTTCCACCTCCAGGTTTCAGATTGGCCCAGCCCCCAAATGTGGACCATTTAATGATTTTACCTACATTCCTCATACTAAGACTTAGAATTTTTGCATGTAAAAAATGAAATATTTATCAGGAACCTTCACTATATGGTTCCTTTGAGAAAGTTCCTTTGAGAAAGTTGCTTAACCACTAGATGGCAGCAAAGAAAATAGCTTCCATTTAAAATGGTTCTTAATTTTGTTTAACTCTTGTAATATATTAAACTTAAGAGAAATTAGTGAATTTGGGTACATTTTCTGAATCTGAATTACAGCCATTTAAACAAATAGTGGTAACACTATGTGACATGCATAATAAAGTATCATCACAAATAACTTGTGCTATATACAAAAGTGAGTCTCATAGAAAGATCTTTTAAAAGTTTTCCATTCCAAAGATCTGTTTATTTTATTGACTCTTAGATTGCCACGGGCTTTTCCTAATATTAAAAATACCACAAGCTGAGTTTTGAAGGGTCATTGGTCATTTTTGGAAAGTCTGTCTGTTTGCTTTACTCCACAAAAATCACTCATACACATTTTAGAAAGTCAGGAAATTCAGACCTCTTGAAACCATGGACAGACATTTAGCTATGAAGCTTTGTACTGTGGTAAAAGAAAAACACGCCTTCAAATTGAAAGCATTCTACCATAAAAAAAAAAAAACCTGTTACCAGTGTGATAGCTTACTGATTAAATTCTAGCCTTGGATACACTGAGATCCCATGTGCTCGCTGGTTTGTGTCCCAGCTGCTCTGCTCCCCATCCAGCTCCCTGACTGTGGCCTGGGAAAGCAGTAGAGAAAAGCCTAAAGCCTTGAGACCCTGCACCTGCGTGGGAAACTCAGAAGAAGCTCCTGGCTCCTGGCTTTGGATCAGCTCACCTCTGGCCGTTGCGACCACTTGGGGAGTGAACCAGCAGACAGAAGATCTTTGTGTCTCTTCTCTTTGTAAATCTACTTTGCCCTTCCAATAAAGACAAACAAATATTTTTTAAAAGGTGAATTTATTAAAAAAGAAAAAAGCCTGTTACTGAACAAAGCAATGAGAAACCTCACTTGGCTGCTCTCTATGGACTAGAGAAACTCCATAAAAATTGAACATGTCATCCTATGAATGCCACATTACAGAACTGTTCCATTTTAGTAACAATAGTGTCTACTATATACTAGAAATTACTTCTAAAAGGCTTACATGTGCTATTTTCATTTTTAACAACTTTCCTAAAGTAGGAAATGTTATCATCTGAATGTTTTAAAAGAGAAAACTAAGGCACAAGAATAGTGAGGTCATCAACAGCTAGCTCGAGGACGGGAGCTTTTAATCATGTCATATAACTCTCTCTTAATTTACAGTATTTACATTAGTTCTGAATTCTCCTGTGTACCACAGTGATGTTCTCAGAAGCCCACAGAATGCCCAGGCTGCAGGACAAGGGGCAACAGATGCTCTCAGCAAAGTATACAAGTCCATAAAGGAAAGCAAGTAAAGGTTCAGAAATTGGAACTGATTCCATCAGGATTCTTGTAAGTCTTACTTTTTAAAGAGACTGATTTAGACAGAAAGACACACACACACACACACACACACACACACACACACACACACACACAGAGTCCAGAGTACCCACTGGAACAGGTCAAAGCTCCATCCACCAGGTCTCCCATGTCAGTGACAGGGGCTGAAATAGCTGGGGCACTTCTCACTGCTCTTCCCATATCATTAGCAGAGAGCTGAATGAAAAATGGAGGAGCCAGGACATGAACCAGTGCCAATTCGGGATGCCAGCTTTGCAGGCAGCAACTTTACCACCATACCCATCCTTAAACTATTTTTCTGAGGGATGTCTCAAGTTTTAGCCAAAATTGCTTTTTACTTAACAATTTTCTTAGAGGTCTTGGTATTTTCATTAAACTAATTCAAATTAGTTTAATAATTCCTAAGCATCTATTTAAAAAAAAAATACTTACACAAAGCAAGAGCTTTGGATCCGCATGAATCAGTTTCACCATGGATAAGAGAAGATACTTGTAGCTTCTAGTCTCCAGGTCTGTAGGTTTTTCTTTAAATTTAAGGCTTGTTACTTTTTCTTTGAAAGTGAGACTCTAAAAACAACACAAAAATATGGTAACATCTTGTAGGAATTAGACATTCCATTTAGAATAACAGTTATCCATTTTAAAATAAATGAATTATTAAAAAGTTTTGAAAAATAAGAATATATTTTATACCACCAAATGTGTGATATTAAGATATTCGATAAGAAGAATTAAATTGTTTTAGAAAGAACAAAAGATGCACCACTCATATTTTTACATATTCAATCTAATAAAATTTAGTAAAAATCTATTAAGATAATGAGAATAATATCCGGTTGCATCAACATAAAAAACTATTTTCCACAGTAGGAAACATAAGGAAAATTGTTTTATCTATAGTTTTACAGATCTGAGCAACTGATTTAACAAACACTTATCCCCACACACATTTTTATTTCACTAATTCCACAACCTATCAATTTTAAGAACTACCATTAATGTAGCCAAAGGAATTAAAAACTACAGTAAGATATCATACAAGGAAGACACATCTCTAATTTTAAAGAAAAGCAGGGCCCGGCAGCGTGGCCTAGCAGCTAAAGTCCTCGCCTTGAACGTGCCAGGATCCCATATGGGCGCTGGTTCTAATCCCAGCAGCCCCGCTTCGCATCCAGCCCCCTGCTTGTGGCCTGGGAAAGCAGTCGAGGATGGCCCAAAGCTTTGGGACCCTGCACCTGCATGGGAGACCTGGAAGAGGTTCCTGGTTCCTGGCTTCAGATCGGCACAGCATCGGGCGTTGTGCTCACTTGGAGAGTGAATCATCAGATGGAAGATCTTCCTCTCTGTCTACCTCCCTCCTCCTCTCTGTATATCTGACTTTCCAATAAATAAACAAATCTTTTTAAAAAAGAAAGAAAAGCAAAAATATGTGCTTCTGAGAACTGATGAAACCTGCTAGAAAGACTATCTCAATATGTAACAGCTTAACTAACTTTTCCTTTTTTCTTTTGATGCCATTCCACATCTCTTGATAGTGAAATTTTGCATGGTGTTTTGTTTGTTTGTTTGTCTGAAGACCATTCATAAAACAGAGAGAACTCTTTGAAAGATTAAACCATGGGAACTGGGTCTGGAAGGTAGGTGTTTTGGCACATCCTCATCCCACACATATATGTGCGTGTTCAAGTCCTTTCTCTGTTGCTGCTGCCAGTTCCTGCTGAGCTCAAGGTCTGCGGTCCTGCCACCCACATGGGGAAGTCGGAAGGAGTCCCTGGCTCTCAGCTTTCACTTGGCCCAGCCCTAATTCTTTCTGGCATCTGGGTTTTCAGCAAATAGAAAATCTGTCTCTCTGCCTTTCCAATAATGAAAATAAGTATCAAAGAAAATGTGTTTCAACTATACAATGATTACTTAATGAGCAGATTGATGCTCATATATGCCATTACAGAAGGAAAATAATAAACCTTACAATGTTTGCTGTCATATTAGTAATATTCAAGGAAAATTAATCAAATGTTTTAATAAATTGTTTCATGTGTTTGTTCCCATTAAATTATAATTTTTCTTTGTAATTCAAGATGTTTTACCTGCAGTCAAGGAACCTACTATTATAGATACAGGGATAGAAAAAGAGAGAACAATTGACAGGTGAAAGAATTATCTCTTATTAATCATCTCTAAAAGAGCAATTATTAATTTAATTATGTTATGTTTTAATCTCAAGTATCAGTTGTAAAAAAAAAATTTTAGGACATCTGCCTATCAAAATTTAAGACTTGAGAAAATCCAGTTAATCTGCTTGACTCAAATATCTTTTCATGTAATAACTATTAGCGACTTATATAAAGTCAGGAACAAAAGAAGAAAGGTATTTCTCTGACAAGAAATATAAGGAAAAAGCACTAATGTTTAAGCTGAGTCTTCATATTATGGATGCCAATAGGAACTCAGGCTGGCACATGTACTCTGGCCAAAGAGGGGCAGTCATGTCTGGAAAGAAATCCATGTGTCAGATTCTCCAGGAATTTTGCAAGGGCCCACAAGAGTTGTTAAGTATGACCACATGAATCCATTTTAGACATGTGAGAAGCATTTGCTGGCCGAGATACCCGTGAAGATGGAAAATGTTCAGAAATAATCCACAGCTATGAAAATTACACAACCAATAGTGGCAGGCTTTCCTTTCACCAAAACAGACTTGGGGTTTAAAATAGGAAATGATCAGAACCAAGACAAATGTTTCCAATGTCAAAGAATACTATAAAAGTGCAAAGGAAGCAGCAACTACCATTCAATATTCATCTGAAGAAGGCTTAGGAGCTGAAATGACTAAAAGGCTCAACAGAAAATTGGTATCTAGACATAGTAGGTTAATAGCTTTCAGCAGTTACTGTTCCCTAGCTGAAAAATGAACATATCCTGGAACACAGTAGTTCCCCACTAAAGGCCACGGAGTCCCCAGGAAACATCTGCAAAATGTGATGTCATTTTGGTTTTCCAAATTGGAAGGGGTGCTATTGGCATCTAGTGGAGAGAGGTTGGAGTTGCTCTAAATACTTCACAATGGACAGGACAGCTCCCCACAGTACAGTTTAGTCCAAAATATCAACAGTTAAGGCTGGGAAGGAGTCTTGGTGCACTGCATTATCTCAACACCACTTGCACACATTCACTGTGTGCATTTATGACCACTTGCACTGAGTTCTTCATTAGAAGTTTTCAGATAAAAGCTACCAGACTATGCCAGGGATCTCTCTGAGGGTGTGTCTGTTTAGTTCATCCTGTTTCTTTGGCATCAGCATCTGGCAATTAGAACAAGACCAACACTTCCATTATTTGTTGCTTGATTAACTCATGAAGTTTATAAGGTATGAAATTTACTCCAGGGATCATGGAAATCCTAAAATGTTCCTATTCTAAAAATAAATGTTGTATTTTGTGAAAATAATAACTAGAAAGCTGTCCTTCAGCCCTGTATACACAATTCAAACTTACAATATAAATACACAAATATGACAGCACTAAGAATGATTTTGTAGGACTGGTGCAATGGCGTAGCAAGATAATTCTCTGTCAATGCAGCTCCCTGCTGAAGCTGGAACTCAGCTTTGGACAAGCTCAGCTTTGGCAACTGTGGCCATCTGGGGAGTGAACCAGCAGATGGAAGACTTCTCTTTATGTCTGTAACTCTTTGGAATAAAATAAGTAAAAAAAAAAAAATTTTTAAAGAAAGAATTAATGGGGGGTGTCAGTGTTGTTGTATACAAGTTGCCAACTACAACACTTGCATTTCATATGGGTGTCAGTTCAAATCCTGGCTGCTTCACTTCTAATCCAGCACCCTGCTAACAGCCTGGAAAACGCAGCAGAAAATGGCCCAAGTCCTTGGTTGTCTCTACCCACACAGGAATCCTGGAAGTGCTCTAGCTCCTGGCACTCAGCTGGTCCAGCAGCCATTTGAACAGTGAACAGCAGAAGAAGATTTCTCTGTCTCTCCCTATCGCTCTGACTTCATGTTTTAAATAAATAAGCCTTTCAAAAATGATTTTGAATATGAAATTCATAATATTTTAGAGAATAACTGGAAATGAAAACTTAATTCTTAACATGGCTATTCCTGATTAAAAGAAGAAATCCTCTCCAATTGTGGTTTTGACAAAGTAATGATGAACAGTGTAATATGTAGCTCTCAGAATACACTAACAATCAGGACTCAGAAGTGAAGTCACTTCTAAACCTGATGAGTAGCATCAGACTACCAAATTTTCAAAAAATATTCAAAAAATTATTTGAATTTCATATTTTTCAGTTCTTGTGCAGAGAAAATTTGTAAAAGGAATATTTAATTTAAATAGGAAAAATATAACTTTCTACCAATTCCCATAATTGGAGGTCATTATTTCTCCCCTCAAAAATGAAGTACACTTAAAAAGGAATAGTTTAATTTTTCCAGAAGATATTTGGAAAGAGTTAACAGTGCAATGGTTTTTCAATAACTTCTTTCAAGTAATTAGGATATTACAAAAAATAATACCTACTTAAAAACTTAGACAGCTGTAATCTATGTTTATATTCAACTAACTCACATCTGTATTGAAACATTTTTAGTACTCGGCATTAGAACACGACTACACAACTAAAAACTAACATTTTATTTTCAAGTTTAATTAATGAAATATCTTTCCCATGACAGATAATCCCAAAACAAATCATATAGATTCTTTCTTTGCACATTTAAGATTAAAAAAAAAATCCTCAAACAATTGCTGACAACTAGGTAAGAGTAAACTACAATTACACAAACCCAAAGTACTTCAGTGACTAGGGAACTTGGAAACAGGGAAGCACATCAGGGAAAGGACTTATGTGACTTTCTAAAATAACCAGAGCAGTAAGAATCCAATACAACAGAAAGACGCTGGGATTCAAAACTCAGCTTTTATCTTACTGTTGGCATTCGTATTGCTGTGTGTGCTCCACAACCCTGAAGTGCTTTATGAAGTGTTTCACCAAACATGTTTCGAAGTTCAACTGAGTGGCAATACACAGCATCAATCTTGGGCCACCAATCCAATGCAGACTGGAGGAAAACAAAGACCACAAAGAAGAAAAAAGTACAGAATTACCTGACTTGTATGCTCTGTTTATCATCATAATTTCAAGACTCATCACTTTATCAGAAAAGTCTCTAACACCATGCACACATACCCACCCTCCATGATTTCCAATGTCTCCAAATGACTTCTTAAATTCAAACATCAGCTCACACATTTCTTTTAAAATATACACATGAGCATGAGAAAAATCACCCATTTCATGAGTATATGTATGAGACTTCTTTTCTCACTAATAATATAATAATATTTTTATCTATCTAAATATGTTTAGATAGATAATTCTGTAGACAATATTTTTCTTCAATGTCTTACACAAATCAGAAACATGCATATAATGGCATATATATTCCCAGATAAGAATATTATTATGAAAACCTCAAAGGAGATTAGTGGTTCAACACAATATTGAAGGACAATGTAGCAAGCTATTGTTTATATGCTTACAAACAACAATGATAATTATAACATAAAATTAGTAAATGAGATAAAGCCATTAGCAACCTATTATCTTGAATTGATATGCCATGATTGTACAATACACAGAAGACCAATGATCTCTATAAACAAAGACAAGTTGGGGCCAGCACTGTAGGCAACAGGTTAAAGCTTCCACTTGCCAAGTAGCTCCTACTAATGTGCCTGGGAAAACAGTACTTGGGACCTTGCCATCCACATGAATAGCCAGGACTAAGTTCCAGGGAGTTTGCAGACCTTTTGGGAGTGAATCAGCAGATTAAAAAAAAAAAAGTAAAGATATTTCTTGGCCTTTCAAATAAGTCTTAAAGAAATAAAACTCAGTAAATATTCTTAAAAAGAATTACACAAAGTATATATTTTTCTATTTCTGTTTAAGATGCTTAGCTTTGCTGTCTAGTTTTCAGTGCCTATTTTATTTGAAAGTATGGCTTTACTTTTTGTTTTAAGTGGATACACTATCAAGTTCACCTGAGAGAATTTTTATTATGTATGGAAAATATACATGAAATGGGATGGCTTAAAATACACGCTTCCAACTTATGATATTTCTATTAATAAAGACATGACAATGCTATCTATTCACATCGTGAATAAAAGGAACTTAATAGCTTTTTATTCCCAGCTTCCTTCTTATTCAAACTAAGTTAAGGAGGCAGGAAAATGACCTAACCCTTATGGTGCTAGTTTGGGATGTTCACATTACTACAGAGGTGCCTGGGATGGAGTCTCAGCTCTTCTTCCAATTCTAACTTCTACTAATATGTGCCCTGGAAGGCAGCAGGCAATGACCCAACTAGTTGAGTTCCTGCCACTCAGGTGGGAGACCTGGAATGAGTTCCTAGATGCCAGCTCTTGAGCCTAGCCCAGCCCAGGACACAATGGACATTTGGAGACTGAATCAACCACAGGCAAACACTGTTCTCCCTCCATCCTACTGCACAAACAAATCCACCACTGCCTCTTAAGTAATAGCTATAAAAACAAAACAAAACAAAAACAAAAACAACCTCCCCCCCAAAAAAAACACCTGCAATGCCAGCAACCCATGTGGGCACTGGCTTGGGGGCCAAATGCTCCACTTGCAATCCAGCTCCCTGCTCATGTGCCCAGGTGCCTGAGTCCCTGCACCTACGTGTGAGATCCAGAAGAAGCTCCTGGCTCCAGACTTTGGTTGGTGAGACACTGTGGGAGTGAAGCAGTAGATGGGATAGCTCTCTCTAACTCTCTGCAACTTCAACTTTCAAAAAAATTAATATATTTTTAAAAATAAAACAGCTAGTCTTAATATTTGGTTTTTAAATTTCAGAATATTTTGAGTACATCAAGTTACAATGCCTTAAACAAAACAGACTTTGTGAATTACAAACTCTAATTACTAGAGAGCATTGGACAGTAAAATTTAAAAAAAAAAAAAAAACCTATTTACAATACACAGTTTGAATGCTCCATACAGGAAATGGCCCAAAAGCTGTGAGGCAAGAAATATCTTTGTTATTTTTTTGTTTTCCTTTGCTTTTTTTTTTTTTTAAGATAGTGTGGCTGTTTGTGTCTTTCCCTCATTTCTGACTTCTTTTAAGCTAATTCATTCTAAAAGATCAATTTTTAGGGCCCAGCATGATGGTCTAGCAGTTAAATCCTCGCCTTGCATGTGCCAGCTGCTCCACTTCCCATCCAGCTCCCTGCTTGTGGCCTGGGAAAGCAGTCAAGGACGGCCCAAAGCCTTGGGACCCTGCACCTGCATGGGAGAACTGGGAAGAAGTTCCTGGCTCCTGGCTCTGGACTGGCTCAGCTTTGGCCATAGTGACCATTTGGGGAATAAACCAGCAGACAGAACTTTCTGTTTATATCCTTTTCTCTGCAAATCTGCTTTTCAATAAAAAAAATGAATAAATCATAAAAAATAGGTCAATTTGGAGTTTGGTTAAATATAAGATCCCTAAGCTTTATGCAGACTAATCGCATGGTTTGCCTGAAGAAGTAATGTAAATGCATTTTGATTTCCACTATTTACTAGATGTACGGTTGGAGTTGCTGAATAAACACAAAGAACACTGAGTGGAGGATCTCCGTGACTCTACGGATCCCATACAATCTCATCAGAAGCTGATACACACACACAACCCCTGAAACCTCTTATCCAAGTTACATTTGCTTTGACAGCTGTTGAGATTGCCTTGTGAGAGCAGGTACACTCTATAAAATAACTTTCAGGCTTAATTTAGTGATTTTTTTTTCACAACTGCATTTTGCCTAATGTTCTACTTCATTCTTTATAAAGTGAAAGGTTCACTTTCAAAAAAAATAGGCACTAAACATATGACTTACTTGGTTAAAAAAAATTAACACTCTGAGCAGTAGCTAAAAGTATGCTTTTCTCAATCAGCCAAAAGTATCCTTTCTTAACTATTCTTCGAACATTCTAAATTTATTGCTGAATAAATGGCAACACTTAACAAAATATAAGCAAACTATGTATCAATTCCTTGAGGGATCATTGTAAAATTTTCATATTTTAGTTTTATTCGAAATAACTTCTTTAACTAAAATTTCTTAATGAAAGCGATCATCTTTTTCTCTATATGAACAATCTGTAAAATACAGTAAACTGCTATAAGGATCAATGGAAATGAAGTATTATTCCAGCTACTGTACATACCAGTGATGTTTTACACAGCTGGTTCATACATATACTACTTTTAACTTCCCAACTACATCACTGGTTCAGCCTAAAGAACACCTGTCATGGACAGGCATACAACATAGGTCTTAAAGCTCTAATTCATCCTTTATGACATGTCAGAAGTTAAAAAAGGTGACCATCTTAGGAACTGCTAGAAGATGCAAATAGTTAATAAAGATATCCCAGGAAGATATCAAATATTTCAGACCTAAACACAATACTTAGAAACTGAATGAGTATGTTTCACAAAAGCAAAATAAAACTCCAAAAGCCATTGCTGTTTCTATATAAGCTCTCAAAAATGTATCAATAAAATTTGTTTCAAAATATGATAATAAAAACAAAATCATGTGCACTGACTAATGAGTTGTGGCAGAAAACTTATGAAGTGCATTGAACCAAAAAATCACGGAAAAAAAGAAATCTTACATTAGATATAAATTTAAAATCAGGAGTCTAAATAAGAAAAATGTCATGTCATTTTGAGTCATAAAATACTTTCCTAATAATTATAATTGTCATTGGTGAGACTCTTTACAGTCAACTATATAAATTTGGAATTCTATAGTCTCCAGTTAAAAACAAAACAAACTTCAGATCCAATATCTACTGGCCTCAAGCCAAACTGAGGAGGGGAAAACACACAGACACAATTTACCAAGTAATCTCTAACAATAAAAATCACCATCTTAAGGTATAATTTTAAAAGATGTCTAGGACTAATATTTATGCTACTTTGTCAAATATTCAGTATTTGAGAACTAGTCATCACAATTCTTTATATTAAAAAAGAAGCTATCCTGACGACTTGCCCTCTGACATAGACACACTCCACCTTCACACATGCAGTTCTCGTTAGCACGGAGGAGGATGCACACCCACTGTCACCAAGTCCACCACTGCATGCATGAAGCACCACTCCAGGCATGCTCAAAACCCAGAAAGGAGCAGCTCAGCCACTTACAGCAGTGCCAAGTCCATGCTTGAAAGTGCTCTATATAGTTAATTGTAAACAAAAATATTTCACAATTAAAGTAACTAGCCACAAAGCATCAAAAGAGCATATACTTGGGTTTATTAAATACATTTATATATGACTGTCCAGCCTAACAAGTGGAATATATTTAGTAGTATGAGCCAAGGCAAGGAAGGAGTAGTATTTTATTTCTGAATTTTACATGACTTGGGGGCAGGCTCTGCTCTCCCCATTTTAATGACCTTGAAAATAAACTTTAAGGATACAATTCCCTGAGTTCATTAGAGTGGTAAAAGCTCAGAAATTTAAAAAAAAAAAAAAAAGAATGCCAACATGTCTTATCTATAAACAGATTAGTTAAATTCCCCTTTTAGAAAATGAGTATCCAATGTTTTAACTACCTATAATTTAATTCAGTGATATTTAATTGTGGAAGATATAATTCTCAAAAGCATTTTTACTTGTTCATACTGATGAAGGGTTGGTATTTACTGAGGACCAAAAAAGCTAAATGCCTAAAATGCTCAGGACTCCTGACATGGAAAAGCCAAATGCCCCACTCAACACCGTTATCAACAGTTACTTTTCCCCTGCGCAAATGGATGAAAGAAAATTAGAGCAGAGTTTTTTTGATTCAAAACATGCAAGCAAATGAAGGTACAAGGGTATTTATAACTCAGCAGACACACAGTCTTAAAGCAGAATTTTACTATAAACAATACAAATATTAATACTATAAACAATACAAATACAGAAAAACAGATTTGCATACATTGATGATTAAATTACTTGGAGGAAAACAAAGATTGTCAATTCACATGTTAAACATGACATGAGAAATATATTTAAAAAAATGACACCAGAGGAACTGATGTCATGGCACAGAGCAGGCTGCAGCATGTGATGCCAGCACCTCATGTCAGAGTGCCAGGTCAAGACTCAGCTGCCCTGCTAGTGTGCCAGGAAAGACAGCATCAGATGACCCACGGACTTGGGCACCAGCTCCCTTGTGGAAGACGGGTGTTGGAGTTACCAGCTTTTGGCTCTGCCTGACCCAGACCTGGCTACTGCAATCAACTGAGAAGCGAACCAGGCAGTGAAGATCCTTCTCTTTTCTCCTCCTCTCCCTCTCTTTATCTCTTTTTCTGTCTCCTCACCCCCATCTTCTCTTTTCATGGCCTTTTCGTCCAAATAAATACATCTTCTTTCAAAAAAAAAAAAAGGGAAAATATTATACCTGAGAATCTTCAAATACAATTTAAAAATCCAAAGTCCAAATTTCAAAATTTTGCTTTCTACTTGGTATCTACATCACAAAATACCTTTTAATAGTTCACTTGGTTTTGTCTGATACGCTTTTTTATTCTGTAAATACCTCTTCTAAAGTGTTAATATTTCACTTTGTTTAAGAACTAAAAAATACAGTAAAAAGTTTCATCACTTTTGTAGATGTGCCATACATTTGACTACAACATAAGCACTATCACCTTTCAACCAAGTGGTCAAGTAACAAGTCAGAACATCTTAAGTACTGACAGAAGGCTGAAGGTATTCAAACTCACGTGCAGAGTTTTGAGATAAGATGCTAAGTTAGTTTTTCAGTGGCACTGCTCTGAAGGACTTTAACCTAAATAAAATGTTATACATTTAATTTTTCCAGAGGATTTTATTAAATCATCAATAAGAGCATTCATGTCAATACTAAATATGAGGGGAAAATCAAACATATATATACATACATTTATATTTAAGATACAATCACCCCGGAGAACTCTTTCTATACCACAGTCTAATTTCAGACATTTTGTGAAAACCAAGAATATTTCTCCAAAAAAAGGGAGGAATAAAAGAAAATACACATTCAGAAGAAAAAATTTTCAGTAACTTAGCAATACCTTTTGGACTTACATTGGTGATGATTCGATGAAGTGAATTTACTAGCACATAGTGAAATGTAGAAGGTGAATTCTGAGCCAGGCAAATCTACAGAAAAAGAGATTTGCATTATTTTTCTGAGAAATATATTCAGCAATACCAATGAAAACAACAGTAAAAGCAAAGTTTTTAAATAAAAAATCATTTCTTGAGATTGAAGCCCAGTGCAATGGCTTACTTTGCTAACCTTCTACCTCTAAGCACCAGCACCCCATATGGGCACTGGTTCTTGTCCTGGCTGCCCTACTTCCCATACAGCTTCCTGCTTGTGGCCTGCCAAGCAGAAGAGGATGGCTCAATGCCACAGGACCCTAATGCCACATGGGAGACCTGGAGGAAGTTCCTGGTCCCTGGCTTGGGATTAGCTCAGTTCCAGCCATTTAGGGAGTGAATCAGCAGATGGAAGATCTTTCTCATTCTATCTCTCTTTCTCTCTGCAAATCTGCCTTTCCAATAAATATATATATATATATATATATATTTATAATATATATTATATATAATATATAAATTTATTTTATATATAATATAAATAGAATATAATATATATATAATATATATATATTTAGGTCTTGAGATCAAGCTCAACACATAATATTGAGAAATAATGGTATAGGTGTACCTTTTCATCCTCCTACTCTCTTCACACTTATAAAGGATAACAGTATTAGTAAGTACAGGGTAATAAAAAATGATGTTCTCACCTTGAAGTGTTGGTTGTTGTGAGGGCTTATCCGAAAGCAAGAAACAAGGCAGTCAATCATGAGATCCACATCCGCAGGCTGACTGCCTCTTGAAAATGGTTTACTTGGATTAAAAAGCAAGTTCTATAAAAAACCCCAACAGAAAAGAAATGCCTTTGAAGTGGCCATGCAGAACATTTGTACTGGCTTGTAATAACATTAGCACACAACCCACAAAGATGGCAGAACACTTGCTAGGCAGAAAGAGCAGGAAGTCCTAACAGTGTTGTTCACCAATCTAGTAGAATTCTCATTATACTATTCATGACTCCATTCAGGCCCTCATTTTGGCAGTGTTTTAAGCCCAGTGCCACATAGCAATGCTAATTTGAGGCAACTGGTAGCTGAGTTTCTTTTATATTCTTTCTATCTAGTCTGATGAACATGGCAACACCAAAGCAGTCCCTGTGAACTTATGACCAAAGAGGACTCAGAACTTCAGTGTTAACAGTGATTGGTGACAGAATTCGTTTAAGTTAATTCCCACTTAATGCTCATCAAATTGACAGCAGAGACAAACTGAGGCATCACCTTAAGATCGACCACCATGGACTGCACCAGGAGAAAGATGACAGAGTTATCTTCCCAGTTAATGTACGTGCTTGCTTTACACAGTTTGACACAGGCGATGGCAGCACTTTCTGTCAGCTGCCTGCTTCCTCCATGGCCAGCTAGTGCTTTCCGTAGACTGTCCAGAAATAATTTCTAGAGAATTCAAAATAAAGAATGGGGCATCAAATGAAGCTTCGACTACCTCAGATTTAATTGGTAAATTAACAAAGAACTTTCAAAACTCACCAAATGAAGACTGAGTAATTTAAGAGTATTTTTGTGGTTTTAAATAGTTGTCATTTATTTACATGTTTCTCAAATCCCCAAAATTCACCTATCGCCACTTACTTTGCTGAATTATTACAAGAATATAAGAAACAGTCACAGACAACTGAACTCACCACTGAATTCACTTGATCATAGCCTCTGTGTTGTATGCTTTGCCCTCATTTTTAATGATTTATAAGGCAGAGAAAGACATGGACAGATGGGGGAGATCTCCTATCCGCTGGTGATAATAGTATGTTGGACTCTTTGCTAATGTCCATTTATACAACGTCAGGATACATTTAAACATCAGAATTATGCACTTATGACTGATTGTGAAGGATTATACTATTGTAATGACATGCAGGAAATTAGTTGGGAGTGGGACGGGGATTTGGAGATGGGGGAAGAAAAATCCCAGAGCCTATAAAACTGTATCATGGAATAATAAATTAATTTTTAAAATAAAATAAAAATCTAATTTAAAAAGACTCAAATTATTAAAATAATAATTACAAGTTGGCAGTATTACTGACTTTAAAAAAATAAGTGTTTTTAGACAATACCACGAAAAACTATACCCAAAAAATTGAGTAATATGAAAAAAATGAACAAATCCCTAGAAACACACCATCTACCTAAAATGACTCATGAAGAAACAGAAAACCTGAATATAACTATAACCAAAATAAGGAGAAAGTAATGAAAAAATCTCCCAACAAGCAAGCCCTAGAAATAAACTGTCACAAATGACCAATTTTTGACAAAAGTGCTGGGAATGGTGTGTAAAGGGACAGTATTGTGGTATGCAGGCTAGTCCACTAACTGTGATGCTAGCATCCTGTAGCACAGTTCCTGTTTGAGTCTCTACTGCTCCATTTCAGATCAAGCTCTCTGCTTCTGTGCCTGGGAAAGCAGTGGAAGATGGTCCAAACTCTTGGGCTGCTGGACCAATGGTCCAGAATAGAGTTGTTGACTCCACGAATCAACATGACCCGGTCCAGGGCAAGGCAGCCATTTGGCTGTGTAGTAGGGGATGGAAGATTTTGTCCCCCTTTCCATCTCTCCCAGCCTTTCAAGTCAATCTCAAAAAAAAAAAAAAAAACTTTAAAAGAAACAAACCAAAACAAATGGTACTGGAAAAATTGAACATGTCAATGTAAAATCATGATGTTGGGTCCTTCCTTTCTGTTATGTATAAAATTAACTAAAAAGGGATCAAATATCTAAATTTAACAGCTAAAACTATAGATCTTATAAAAGAAAAACATTCTGAAAAAGACTACACTTTTGGATTTGTTTTCTTCTGGGACTTCCACACGGGTGCAGGATCCCAAGGCTTTGGGTCATCCTCTACTGCATTCCCAGTCCATAAGCAGGGAGCTAGATGGAAAATGGAGCAGGTGGGATATGAACTAGTTCCCATATGAAATACTGGCTCTTACAAGGTGAGCATTTAGCCATTCGGCCATTGTGTCGGGCCAGATCATTATTAACCACTAACTTTCCTTTGAACAACAGTAAAGACTGCTATTCGTAAATTTGCTTTATAACCATACTTCCCATGAAATCACGGGAGCTGGGTACTTCCTCCAAATTATGCTCTAGAGATATTTAGAGCAATTTTCTTATGTTCTAAAACTTTCCCAAGTTTACTTTTACAATGATCTTTTTTCCAATTTTATTGAGGTATCATTGACAGATAAACATGAAATATACAACAAAGACTGACAAACATGTATGTATACAACATGATGTTTTGATATACATGGTAAAATGATTACCATAAACAAGCTAATTAACATACCCATCATGCTTTCAGAGAGGACTTAACAGGAATTGAGATACTGTTTCACCTTAGTACTGTGACAAAAAACTAGCAAGACTGAAAACAAGCAATCTGATGCATGTACAACAAAGCAGACAATTAATTTTGATCTGATGAAAATATAACCTACAACCAATACTGGGAACTGTAAACCTAGGAGTAACTATTAAAAATTTAAATATAAACGCCCTAGCCAAAGAAATCCCACTATGCTTTTTTTATTTGAAGAATTAACAATGATTTAACAAGAGGGGAAAGCTTTTCCAAGTATGTGGGATTTGAGCAAATGAGTAATAGCTTCTTTGTGTTGCTTTGCCCTTCAAGTAAACAAAAAGCAAAAATAATTTTAAAATAGTTTAAACAAGATACACATAAAAATCACTAAAACACATATGATACATTGAAAGAGTAAAAATTTTGTAACTTTTTCCACTCAAGGTAAAATGATCAAGTAATTGAGGCTCATGTATAACAGAACATTGTCAAATGTTAAAAGTAAAGTGTTAAACCACTTGAGCCTTCACAGCTTCTTGGGAAAGCAGCAAAGATGGCCAGGTCCTTGGGTTCCTGCCATCCATGTGGGAGACCCAAACAAAGGTCAGGCTCCTGGCTTCTGGCTGGGCAGCCTCAACTGTTGAGTCATTTGGTTTCTTTTCAGAAGATGCAAATGTTCTGATATCTGACAGTGGTGATGACTGCACAACTTTATGAGTATAAAGACACAAAATCACTTAATTCTACATTTTAAAATGGTGAATTGGGACGTGCACTCTGGCATAGCAGATAAAGCCTGCAGTGCCAGCATCTCATATGGGCATTAGTTGAGTACCAAAGGCTCCACTTCTTATACAATGTCCTGTTAATGTGCTTGACAAAGTAGCAGAATATATCCCAAGTACTTGAGCCTCTGCACCCATGTGGGAAAACAGGAAGAAGCTCCTGTGTCCTATATCTGGCCCAGCTCCAGCCATGACAGCCATTTGGTAAACAAGAAGAGGGTGCAGTGACCTAGCTGTTGGAAAATCTGTCTTTCAAATAAAAATAAATAAATCTTCTACTTTAGGAAAAATTGGGAGTGAATTTTATGGCATGTGAGTTATATCTCAATAAACTGAATAATTATAATTTAGGAGGAGGAAGAATCTAACTAAGTGCCAATTTAGTTTAGAGGGTATATGTGGTAGCCTACCTTCCTGATAAAATCTGGAGAAAGCTGCTCCAAAATACCCAGGTCAAGCTCCTGGAGAATTTCAATTGCACCAAATGAACACTCACCTAATCACATCCTACAGAATAATCAAATCTAGCAGGGCAACCTTTGCAGTGAATACTTAGATTCAAGAAACTATGTTTAAGCACTAACTGAAATGTCATTTAAGTCTTCTCTTTGATTGGCAATTCATGTTGTTTATCCCTCTTCCAAATAAAATGTATGCCTATGCTACATCCAGCAAACAAAGCTGTCTAAAAAGATAACAAATAGTTTACTTAAAGAATGATAAGCCAAAAATACACATCTTGGTAAAACAAACAGCTTCCTTCACATCTGGACATATTGGAAATATTTTGCCCTTCTGACCTTATTCATGTTGTTTTCATCAACCACATCCTTGGATATATCCTGGATTATTTCTGGACACAAAATAAGAAGAATGATTTGTAATGGCCACACTGCAGCTTTACGTTTGGTGCTTTCAGCAAAACCATCCACCAAGTCAAACAGCTTTTCTGCACACTCTACATAAAAAATATAAATATTAAATGACATTATTAGATGAGAAGGAAATATGGGATTAAAAACTAGCACTATCCAAAGGCCATATTTATAAAAAAAATAAACTTGGCAGACTTGAGTAACTGTATCAGTTCACTTGGGAAAGCAGACAACTCTCTATGTGTCATAAGACTATGTTCATCCCTCCTGACAAAGTCCACACGCAGCAAGACTGGCCTGCATTTAGCCTTAATGTGCAGGGCCTTTCATGAAGTGAAAGGTGCTTAGCCAACCAAAACTGGACAACTCCTCAAAAACCATTACCAAAGTTCTCCAGGAGTCTCTCTGCTCTGCCATGGAACTGTATCCTAAGAATTGTTGCTTCACTGCTAAGCGTATTCCTTCTTTACACACATATCTCCCTAAATGTAAAATAAAACCTGAAAATACAGTAAGTGCTTCTATACAACTTACACCCATGAAACACCCAATCACAACTCTTAAAGGTTATAGCTTTATTTCCACTGATCTATTTGCTCAAGAAAGGAAAATGGTTGAAGGTAATTTAGAAAGATGAGAGAAAAACATTACTTCCTATTGCACAAAAAGTTCATGGAAAATATAAACTATGGAAAAAATACACATGGATCTCTAAATTGAAAATAAAAGAAGTTTTGCAACAAAAACACTTAGAAAAAGTACTCAGTTTTCACCTCAAAATTAAGATTCTAAAATACACACACACATTGAAAAAAAAAATTGTCCTTACCAGCCATGTCAGTCTGTGGAATCTGGTACAGCTTTGTAAATTCATCTGGATAATTTTCTACCCAATTCCAAAATGCCTACAAATAACCAAATATATACCTTTACATGAAGGCAATGATCCTTTTCTTACTATAAGTAAATAAAATGTCACAAACTTTGCTTTCTTCAAAAGCAAATTACAATGCATTTTTCTCTAAATTAAAGCAAAACAATCATCCAAATCATGACTTTTTGATAAAAAATATTAACGACAATTACATTTATAACTATAAATGAAATTTTAATGCCAAACAGTTGTAGCTTACCTTTTCCAAACTATTTATAACTGCTAATTGTGCAACTTTCTTTAGAGCTTTAAATTTAAATGCTGTTTCTGGGGAGGGGAAAAAGATTAATTTTAGTTAACTCTTCATTAATTAATATAGAGTTATTAGCAAAAATACTTTTCCTATTATATAGTACTTTTGTTGCGCATTTGTAAGCAATGTCAGGGTAATGACAATTAACAAACTCCAGGTTCACTAGTTATGTCCATTGCAGATAAAACCCAAGAAAAAGCAAATATTAAATTTCAAAAATTTTATATTTTTCCTGTTTTAATAACTTGTGTTTTTAAAAGGGATAAAAAACATGATCATGCAGAAAACTCAAAATACATGATAGACTAAAAATTTTAAAATATTATCCATGATTTTACCATTCAGAGACCATTATACATTTGACAGCCTGCTACATTTTTTTTTCTATTCTTTTCCTATGCATACAAGATGCTACCTGAAAAAGTTCATGGAAAATATGTATTATGAAAATGTAAACATGGATTTAAAAAAATTTTTGCATCAAAATAAATTTCCCTTTAGTTGTTTTTTTTATTCAAGAACTTTCTGAAGTATCCTAAAATACAAAAATATGTCTGATCTGTTTTTTTCTGTTTATGTAATATTCCCATTTTTTTCCTCTAGCATTAGGAGTCTTCAGGCTTAAGTTTGATGGGTCTGTATCACAGATGTAACTACTACTTGAACAACCATATCATACCCGCTATTTTCAATATATTATTATTTTCAAACTCCCAAGGCTTTTAGAATATTGCAGATGAGCAAACTGCATCTGAGAGCTAGACAGAGTTAGCCGTTCAGAGTAGGCTTTGCTATCTCAGTACATTCAAGTCACTGTGTTAGGTCACTGCTTGCTTAATGTTCTCCATTTTCACCATTATTTCACTATTACAAATGCTAGCTAACTATTGTAAAATTTGGGCATTTTATCATTATAAAGAACATTAAAAACTATTTTTTAAAAAGATTTACTTATTTGTTACAGTAAAATCAGTTTATAGAAAGATCCTCCATCTGCTGGTTCACTCCCCAAATGGCCACAATGACCATTGCTGAGCTGATCCAAAGCCAGGAGCCAGAAGTTTCCTCACTTCCTCCAAGTTTCCCATCTGAGTGCAGGATCCCAAGGCATTGGGCCATCTTCTACTGCCCTCGCAGCCACAAGTAGGGATCCTGAAAGAGAGTGGAGCCCCCAGGACACAAACTGGTGCCTATATGGGACCCCAGCAGTTACAAGAAGAGGATTCAGCCACTAAGCCATCATGCTGGGGCCAGGTCAAAGACACCAATATTTTTAAGGTCCTTGTATTTTTAAGGTGTCTTCAGGCAGTATTTTATCTTCAGTGAGAGACCAAAATTCACTCCCACTTTGTTAATTTGCTGCTTAAAACAGACTGTATATTTGATGTGAGATTAAATATATGTCCAGGGCCTGGCACAGTGGCGCAAGTGGTTGGGGTCCTCGCTTTGCACGCCCGGGATCCCTATGGGCGCCGGTTCTAGCCCAGCAGCCCCGCTACCCTTCCAGCTCCCTGCCTGTGGCCTGGGAAAGTAGTCGAGGACGGCCCAAAGCTTTGGGACCCTGCACCCGCATGGGAGACCTGGAAGAGGCTCCTGGCTTCAGATCAGCATAGCATCGGCTGTTGTGCTCACTTGGGGAGTGAATCATCGGATGGAAGATCTTCCTCTCTGTCTCTCCTCTCTGTATATCCGCCTTTCCAATAAAAATAAAATAATAATAAAAAAATCTTAAAAATATATATATATATGTCCATATAAATATATTTGGAATTTTGATTTATTCTTTATAAATTAAATGTCAATGCCTAGGTGGAGAGTTTTACCTATAAAAGATGATTCCCCTGTAACCTATTTTATCAGTAATAGTTCCTTGACAAAGAATTCTTCCTATGGACTTTCAACAAAAGGATACAGGCTTTTGTTACACTTGTATCTTTTTAAGATACAGATGACCCTTCCAATAGCCAAAGTTACATTATCTGAACAATCTACTAAATGAGATTCTTTTTTGGACTTTCCAAATAACCTCTCACTTTTCATATCAATTAAAAAATATGCCTTTTTGGACCTGGTACAATGACTCAAAGGCTAAATCTTTGCCTTGTAAGCAACAAGATCCCATATAGACACCAGTTCATGTCCTGGCTGCTCCACTTCCCATCCAGCTCCCTGCTTGTGGTCTCAAACAGCAGTGGAAAATGGTCCAAAATGTTGGGACTCTGCACCGTGTGGGGGACCCGGAAGAAGCTCCTGGCTTTGGAACAATTCAGCTCTGGCTGTTGTAGTCATTTGTGGAGTGATCTAGTGGAAGAAGATCTTTCTCGCTCTGTCTCTTCTCCCCATAAACCTGATCTGCCTTTCCAATAAACATTCTTCTTTAATTCCCAAACAACAGCATTATGTTTGAGTGCTCTTTAGCCTTTTTGCCTTCTTCAGTTAATCAACTCTATCTTTATGACATGCATTAAATACAGTATTCTAGTCACATAATTCCAATGCATATACCTTAATATTACAGTTATGAAAGTTTCCTTTTTTAGCACTTTTAATTAATTTACTTACTTGAAAGCTAGAATTAGAGAGAGAGAGAGAAAGAGAGAAGGAAAGACTGAAAGATCTTTCATCTGTTAGTTCACTCTGCAAATGGCTGCAAAGGAAGTGGTGTAGACATGACTTAAACCAAGGCCCATATGCAATGCCAGAGCTACAGGCAGCAGCTTTACTCACTATGCCACAGTACCTACCCCAAAAGAGACAGAAAGAGATTTGATACTAATTCATTCCCCAGATGGCCTAAACAGCCAGCACTGGACCAGACTGAACCTAGGCACCAGGAGCCTGACCCAAGTCTATCATGTGGGTGGCAGGGACCCAAGCACTTTGGCCATGTTCCATTGCTTTCCCAGACCAACAGAAGGGAAGCGGATTGGAAGTGAAGCAACCAGGACTCAAACCAGCACCTATACGAGACACCGATGCTGCAGGCAGTGGCTTTATCAACTATGCCAGAATGCCAGCTCCTCTGTTCTACAAGTTTCTGATTAGACAATTCACTTGTATCTCCATCACAGAAGATCTAAAACTGAATTCACCATTTTCCTGACAATGTCATTCTCCACCATCAACCCCACCTTCCCTTTCTTGCTTCAACCAGCTTGCTCTGCATTATCTTGTGATACCTTTGTAATCACATATTTATGTTGTTTATGACGTATTCTTCCTATCAAATGGGTGTCAACTACCCTCATTACTATTTTCCCATTACTATCACTATTACACAACTAAGTTCCAGAAGTTCATTCACCTTCTACCAAGCCATTCTGCAAACCTCAAGGAAGGTCACGTAGACCTTCCTAGGTCATTTAGATTAAAATAAAATACTGCTCAAGATAATCCCCACATAAATCCCTTTCATCACTTCCCATGGTTGCTAAAATAAAACCACATAATTCTTAAGCATAACAGTGAAGTTAGACAGGGACAGTTAAGAACTGAATCATTACTACCTCTGAGAACTAGGAAATGTTACTTACGTCTGTTTCCTCATACAAGTAATGATAATACTAAAAATTTTAATCACAGTTATTTTACAAATTGCAGCATGATACCTGACATAAATTCAAACTGTAATGACTATTACTATGTTTTCATTCTTCTGACCTTCCTACTATCTTTATATTCTTTTTCAGTTAACATCTTTATATTATTTTTCAGTTAACATCTCCCAACCTCCAAATAAATGCATACTTCTTCTCACTTTACGTTCATCCTAGGCGTTTAACCATATTGTCCGACAAATAATTTTCATACATGATTCCCACAAACTGTGCTATGAGTTCCTTAGGATCAAATATAATAATTTATTCATCTTTGGATTCCCAGCACACACATGGTTTCTTGCTTCTCGGCAAACAGTTTCTAAACAGATGACTAAACAGTTGAACTAAACTTAAAACTTACTACTTGTATTACTCATGATAGGAAATTATCATTCCTTTTACCAATGTAACCTAGAGCTATTTTTGCTGACCTGTTTATTTTACTATTTATTATTTGAGAGGCACAGAGACAGAGAGGCAGAGACCGAGAAAAAGAAATTCTCCAACAGGTTTTCACTTTTCCAGTGTTTGCCTAGGACTGGACCAGAGTTGAAGCTGGGAGCCAAGAACACAATCCAGGCCTCCACCCTGATAGGAGAACCCCAACTGCTTAAGGCAGCACTGCTACCTCCCAGGATCTGTATTGTTGGGAAATGGGAGTCAGGAACCAGAGCTGAGAATCAAACCCAGGCACTCCAATGTGGACTACAGAGGCTATTTAGGGGGGTCTATCTGCTGGCCTATTTAGTATTGACTTGCTGTTTATCAGCATACACTCTAAATTTACGTTCATGAGGAAGCTGGACTCTGGGCAGGGGAAAGCTTCCAGGTAGGCATTTGGAACAGAGGTCCAGATTCTCACTGCTGAGTGTCTGTTCCACTCGGAATCTCTGCTGAAGTACACCTGGGGGGAGGTGGGGGGAGAAGCAGGTGACAGCTCAAGCACAGGATACCTAAACTGGATTTCTAGCTCCTGGCTTTGGCCTGTGTTGGCCTTTGTCATTGTAGGCATCTGGGAAGACTTTTGGGTTGAGAACTCTGTTTTCTCTTTGACTCCCAAATTAAGAAAGGAGGAAGAGGAAGAGGCAGCAGAGGAGGAGATGGTGGAAGAAGAAAACAAAGTCAATCATTTCTCCATATTTCTCTTATTTGGTTGGGCAAAAAAAGCCACCTCAGTTCCTTACCATAGATTGAACATTTCTACAAAAGCTGTTGTTTTAAACAAACACCTACTCAAGAAAATTAGACTAGATTTATTGCCACAATGTCACAGAATTATGAGAAATCACTAAAGCCCAATTACTCTTTAAATTTACTTCAGAAAGGACATCTCGAAATTTTACTATTCAGTTCCTTTTAACTGCACAGTTTCACGTTAGTTAAATCTTGCAGACTTCAGCATAAACTGCATATAAACGTGTTCATATTTTGGCGTAACAATAGCTAAAGTTAATATAACTCAATCTCCTTCTTTCACATTATTGACAATTCCCTAAACAAGGTGCAAAGTAAAATGAAGTATATGCTACAAGGTTTTGTGTTCACATTAGCTATCATCGAATAAACCTGGTTTTGGCCTGTCCAGCCACAGCCCTTGCAGCCATTTGGGCACTGAATCAACAGATGAAGATCTCTGCTGCTCTCTCTCTCACTCTCCCCTGATTCCTCATTATCCCATTTCCTGTCACTTTGCCTTTCAAAAAAACATAAAAATAATAGTTCAACACAATTACTACACTTATAAAACATGCTAGCTTGTGATCAAGATTGATTAATTCCAAATACTTCACTCATTTAAACTTACCCTTTAGGAGTCGTTTTAGTTTTGCACAATCCACATTAATATACTGTATCAATTCTATGTCATGAACATCAACATTGTCTTCTGAACAAACAGTCAATTCTTGTAACCTGAAAAGTTACAGCCAAAAATAGTTATCAGTTCAAACATTTCAAAATTCTGATTTCAACAGATGTGTTCCCCTAAATATGAGTTCATAAGATTAAAAACATACATAACAAAAGTGAAATAGTTCTTATACAGATCTAAAGGAACATAATTTAAAAGATATGGTAAAATAGTAATGATAATCCAGAATCCCTATTTTTAAGAGCAAGATATCTAAACACTATTCCCTATTTTTATTTTAACACGGTTCTTTAGGAAAATAGCTTATTTTTACGATTGAGGCAGGAAACTTACAGATGGGCTTCAGTCACCTGAAGCTTAAAAACAAGACAACTATCAACTATCAGAGTTGTCAAAAATTACCTAGACATACATTTATAAGAGCACAAAACTGTTTAAATTGGACAATTTTAAAACTAGAACACATATGAATAACAATCCACAAGTCTACAATAATATTGAAGAAAAATCACAGGTAAACTTTTGTACTTGTTGCTATCAATTCATTCTGAAAATGAATAACTGGGGTGGACACTGTGACAAAACTAGTGAATTAAGCCATCACTTATAATATATGCAATATATCAGAATTCCAGCTCAAGATCTGGCTCCTCCATGTGCCACCCAACTTCCTATTAATGCATCCTGGGAGGCAGTAGATATTGGCTCAAGTTCTTAGATCCCTGCCAAATAGCTGGGAGTCACAGACGAAATCCTGCGCCTCTGACTTTGGCGTGACCCAGCCTGGGGTGTTGTGGGAATTTGGGGGCTGACCCAGTGCATAACAGATCAACAGATCAAACAATCTCTCCTTTCCCCGGTGCTGCCCTTCAAGAGGGTAAAAGTAAACATTTTTAAAAACTATATAACATAGAAAGTATCCATCGTGTATTCCCTATAAAAATAAAATAAATATAAAAAAAATAACTGAATAAACAAAGAATAAAACAAAAATACTTTGCAATACTCACTATTTAAGATTAAAGAATGAACAACAGAATAGCAAATTTGTTACTTTGTAACCCCCCAAACACAACAGTCAGGCTCTGCTCTTCAGTGGCTACTAAAAACAGCTACACGTTTTATGGGAAACTTCACAATGAAAAAATAATCTCTAAAAACCCAACAGCAACAACCTGCCATACACTCAAACTGGGATAACAGCACCTGTTTTCTGATGGGACATAAGAGGAACCACACAAAACATCTCTTGTCCACCCAGAATAAATCCAGTCACAATCCTAGTCACAGCATGAGTCAAATTTTACAAGACAAAATACAACTCAATAAATATACAGTAAGACAAGATAATAGGAGGGAGCAGATAATGAAGAAATGATATAAATTAAAAGAGAATAGAAACATCAGCTAGTCACAAGGCATGGAATTTTCCTTTTTTTTTTTTTTTTTGGTATCCGAATTTGAACCAACCAAATGAAAAGTGCATTTGTTTTTAATGATGGGGAAAAAATGAAGAACAAGCTTAATATAGACATCAAGGAACTGATGTGTTCTTTTGGCTAGATGTGACAATAGAACACCGAAATACATGGAGGCGAAATCTGATGTCAGGGTCTTGCTTAAAAGTACTGAAAAGGGAGAGAAGAGAAAAATCAAGAATCAACACATGCTGAAAAGGCTAAAATACAACAAGATAAATGGAGATCTGAAATACTATTCTCTCAACTATTATATATTTTTAAAGTTTTCCACAAAAATCTCTCAAAATTCCTATTTCAAATGAAAAATATAATAAAGTTTAATTTTATTCTGTTCATATCAATTAGATTTCAGAAACATGACTATCTTATGTGCATTCACAGAACACATTTACTTTGTATTTAAAAACTGGTGGGCCTTTTTTCCACTGTACTTCCCAGTCTGTTCATATTTTATTTGATCCTCCTCCACAGGAGATTTCAAATTTACAAGGATCAAAAGCTTTCTAGGGGCTAGCATCCTGGCACAGTGGATTAAGCAGCTGTCTGCCATACCAGTATCCTATACATGTGCTTGTTTCAGTCTCAAGAGCACCACTTTTAATCAATTCTTTGCTGTTGAGCTTGGGAAAGCAGCAAAGTACAGTACATGTGCTGGGCTCCTATCACACATGTGGGAGACCTGAAAGGAGCTGAAGCTCCTGCATTCAATCTGGTCCAACCTTGGATATTATGGCCATTTGGGAAGATAACCAGGGAATAAAACATCTCTCTCTGTCTCCTCCTCTCTCTCTAACCCTGTCTTTGAAATAAAGAAATAAACCATTAAAACATTTTATATTGAATGTCAAGATATCAGAAATGCAGAAAAAATAACAGAAGTGTACAAAATTTTTCACTAAAAAGATATTCACTTTAGCCTTCTTCATAAAAAGAATGCAACTTTCCATTTTTTACTAACAACCAAAAATATTAGTTTTCAAAAACTGGTCTCACTAACCTATTAAATTGTCCAACCAAATAACAAACATTATTTCAATGAATAGATATGACAGTAAGGTAAACAGGACAAAGAAATAATACATTTCTATAACTACAGCAGAAGAAGGAACTGGTAAAAAAGCATAAACACTCTGGTCTTATTCACACTATGGTGCAGCTTCAAATTATCTTATTATAACATTAAGCCTTCAGATGATGAAAATGTAATCAATTCTGTTTCTTCATATTTAAACTATCCTTTCACTCACTTTATCCTATATTCGCCTGTAACTAACATTAAGTTTTCTGAGCATTAAACGAAAGCATCAGGCAGGCCAGAAAAGACTGGCAGTTGAAGCCAGGGTAAGATGGTCCTCAACACTCATCCACACACTAAACACTCCACAGTTGCTGCAAAGAACCAAGGAACATGGACAACGGAGCCTTAGGAAACACAACACTAACTGCTGAAGAGCTGACTCTTGTGGTTTCTAACAAATGCAAGAAATGTTTGATCCCTTCTATAGCCCAGGTATGACACAAGGAGGGACATTCTGTAATGCCTCCATGTCACATCCGAATTGGAGAAATAAAATGAAGGATAGTCTGAACAAAAAAAAAAAAAGAGAGAGAGAGAGATGAAAAACCTAACTTTAAAACCTCCAGCAAGATCAAGTCGACTGAACAGAGACATTTTAAATGTGGAGAAATACAGAGAAGCACCACCCACCCAGCTAGGTCCAGAAATGAAGAGGAAACTGAAAACCGAGTCCAGTGCATGTGGTCTGGCACTGCAACAAGGATAGAGGAGGCTTTTAATCACCTTCAGCGAACAGTTTGGAGTTTAATATCCACACAGGACTAGAAAAAATTTTCCTGTTAAAAATGCAGTGATTAGAACTGCATCCCTACATAAAACATAAATGCCCTAAAAACTTATGAACAATTTTTAAAATGTTCTCCTGTAAGAAGAAAGAAAAAAAAAACAACCAGTACTAAGAAATCCATGTATTTTGCCTAAGCTTTGAGTAGGGGACAGAAAGTAACTTAAAGCTGTTACCTTAGAAGGCTGTAGGGTCCATATTTATACTATTCATACTGTCTGGTACTGAGAAATTAAAAAAAAAAAAAAAAGGTTCAGAGCTGAGCACCTTGTAAAGTTATCACTGAACACTCCCCCAGCCCAGGGCACCAGGAGATCCCCACCAAAAATACAGATCACCTGAAGGCAGATTTGCTGCAAACAGATTACAAAACAGAAGCAATTCACTATGAACAGCAGTGAATTGTGTGAGCCAGTATTGTGTCTGTGGGGCAGTAGAGTAGGCCACTGCTTGTGATGCTGGTATCCCATATGGGCACCAGTTCAAGTTCCAGCTATCCTACTTCCAATCTCTTGAAAAGCAGCAGAGATAGCTGAAGTCCTTGGGCCCCTGCACCTACATCAGAAACTCACAAGTTCCTGGCTCTTGGCTTCAGCCTGACCTAGACCCAGCCATTGCAGCGTTTTGGGGAGTGAACCAATAGGTGAAGATCTCTCTTCCTTTCCTCTCTCCTTCTCTGTAACCCTGCCTTTCAAATAAATTTTTTAAAATCTTAAAAAAAAAAAGTTGCATATAACATATACAGCATTTAAAAGAATATAAGTATACTTTCAATTATTAGAACTACAAGTGGAATCCAAAACTGGTTTTAAAACAATAACTATCTATGTTTTAAAGGCAGATTTATGGGCCCAGCGTGATGGTTCAATTGGCTAATTTTCCCCTTGCAGATGCCAGGATCCTGTATGGGCATTGGTTCGTGTCCCAACTGTTCCAGTTCCCAATTGGCTCCCTGCTTGTGGCCTGGGAGAACAGTGGAGGATGGCCCAAAGCCATGGGACCCCACACCCATTGGGAGAACCACAAGAAGCTCCTGGCTCCTGGCTTCAGATTGGTTCAGCTCCAACCACTGTAGTCACTTGGGGGAGTGAACCAGTGGGTAGAAGATCTTTCTGTTCTATCGTCTCTGCAAATCCGATTTTTCCAATAAAAACAAATTAAAAAAAATTTTTTTTAAAGAGACAGGTTTGTGAAGAGCTAAATGACTTTGAAATTACCGAGTCTTTTGTTTCTGGTGGTAGGTCAAACTAGATATTCAGAAGGGCAACTACATCTAGTACAGTTGCACAGTAATTCTGTGGAGAAACCAGCTGATCTTCTCCATCCAAGATTACTATGGTATGCTTCAGGAGCATAATAATCTTGGTATGATCTATGGCCCATCTTCCCCTAAAGAAATGGACAGAAATACATGTATAAAAAGTAAATCTTAAGGGCATACCTTGTTCTGGTGGTTCAAATACTAGTTGGGTTACCCTCATACTGTACCAGAATGCCAGGGTTTGGGTCCCAGATCCACTTGGGGTTCCAGCTTCTTGCTAACGCACACCCTCCACAGCAGTAGGTGACAGCTAAAGTGTTCCTGACTGAGACTAGGATTGGGTGTTTACCTTCTGGCTTCAGGCCCAATCCCAATTATTGTGGGATCTGGGGAGGGAACAAGCAGGTTCAAAGTCTCAATTTCTCTCTATGCCTCTC